CAACAATACTAGTCTGGAGGTAGCCATTGCAGGCTTCGTCTTCAAGCTCTGCGAGCGCTCTACTGCAAGCATGCACGCATGCACGCATGCGCACACTATACATATGTACATGATTACATCACTACAAGGGGATTCACCGAATGGCAGCATTCGAAGATGTGGCCAACCCAAAACAATTGCACTTCAGCCTGGGTACTCCATGACCATGGACTTCTCGGAGTGATTGGATGCAATATGCGGTAGTATGCTAAGTATCAGAATCATGATTTTTAAATGAAAATGATGAAGGGTTTGAAACCCTTCACCTTGTAACATAGGTATGACGCCTCAGTGTTCATTAAGAATCCTATATTTACACATCATTGGGTGTCTTCTATTCCCATTCACACCATACTCTATCTCCTCACCCACTCAAGCTTTTTTTTAAATCGTATCAGTGGCATAGGAAATATCCATCAGCTGTATTACACACAACAAGGTGCCGTACATGGACAGCCTGATTGCATGATGTGTTGCGAGTAAAGAAGTTTAGTTAACTAGGAGCTACAGTAGCAGCTATGAAAGCATAGCTCCATTGGCCTAGGTGTCCAGTTTACCACCTCAGCCATTATTTTGGACTTTCAGTCTATCTATAAATTGAGCTGAGCACTTCAATTCACCCTTTTTACTACTTTTGAAGCAATATCTGTTGGCTCAATTTCTCTTCCGTTGGGCAGAGAGAAAGCGAAGGATTTCACCGATGACTGTGTGAAGCAAATCGTCCAAGGATGGCCCAACCTGACTCATTTGGCGATTGGCGGCCCAAGCTTGACCCTTGATGGTTTTGTTGCACTTGGTAAGTGTGTTGATGACTGCATTGTGTAAAGGCCTGTCTGATGATTTACATTATCAAGTAATTAGTTGCTTACATTGCACAGGCCTCTGCTGTGGTGGCAGGGCTTGGCTGCAGACCGAGTCTGCCTCTCCTGGGTGTAATGTTCCTATCTTGCCGGGGCACCGGTTTTCTGCAGACAAAACCCTCAAAAACACCTTGCACATGCTCAGTATGGCAACTTGGAAGTTTGTTTGAACGCTGGGTGCAGGGTTTATCTGATTTATCGGGCTGTATGCTATGTCTCAGTTACCTGTTGTCTATGCTGTTTTGTGTCGTGCTGCGCTGTGCATGTGTTATGCTGTGTCGTGCTGTGCATGTGGTGTGCTGTGTTGTGCTGTGCATGTGCTGTGTTGTGTTGTGCTGTGCATGTGCTGTGCATGTGCCGTGCTGTGTCGTGCTCTGCAGCATCGGGCTGCCCAAGGTTGGAAGTGCTAGAGTTGGATCGATGTGCTGCTATCAACGAGCATGTTGCCATGGTTCTGTGCAAGAACGGCTTTCGGGGCTTGAGAAGACTGGAGCTGTTCCTGACCCGCATCTCGACCCAAGCCGTCGTTACGTTTGTTGGTAAGATCCATTAGCCATGCACTTCAGCCGTGTAGCTAGTAACTGTTATGCCAAAAAAACCCACGAAGTGTGTAAGTGAAGCTCCACCTCCCAACTTGCATCTTGCCCTGTTGCACCAACACTCTGCCCCATTCCCGAGGTTCTGCATCAAAACATTCAGTAATAGAGATTTATACTTCTTTGTGGCACATGCCCGTCCAGTTGTTATCATTCTCCTTGTCTGATGTGTTCACATCCTTTCTGTAGGTGCATGCCCACGTCTCGAGAACCTCTCCATACACATTGGTATATCGGACTATTATAACAACACAACGGACCCAAGCAACATTGCAGAATTCAACTCTGCCATTCAGGAATTCAAGGTGAGGAATCGCAGGTACCGTATTTGCCGGAGTGTAGTAAGCACTTTAGATATTGTATTTCAGGCCCCAAATCGCAGGTGCGCACTATGCTCCGAATATGTAAATGCGTATACATGTACGTCGAAAAGGAGTGCAATGCATCGAACTGTTGCGAAGTTTGCCACCTCTGACCCTGCGCAAGTCATATCTGTGCACTACTAGTGTTTACTACCAGCTGCACTGCTAATGCATGATGGGTACTACCACTGAGCTGCACTGCTAATGCATGATGGGTACTACCAGCTACACTGCTAATGCATGATGGGTACTAGTACTACCAGCTGCACTGCTAATGCATGATGGGTACTACCAGCTACACTGCTAATGCGCGTGATGGGTACGGGACCCCATCGGTAGCATGGGCATTATACAAATGTGCATATTAATAACCTTATGATAAATCAGTCTGACAATGGTCGCACTATAATGCTGTCTTTATGATCGATGACGGTCTCAAATCAAGGCTGCGCATTATGTATCTAATATTGACTGAGTACGAGGTCACCTTCATAAGGGTGCTCCATCCACTGCAGCCACTTCATGTTTCACACAGTTATACACCACTACTCAAAAACGATCTCTTGGCTACAAATTCTTCCAAAAATAATAAAATCCAAATTTTCGGGCCTGTTTTTGGAAGAATTTGTAGCCAAGAGCCCGTTTTTGAGTAGTAATGTATAACTGTGAGTACGAGGTCAATAGGAAATAAAAGCCGAGTAAAAGACCGAGGCGAAGCCGGGGTCTTTTACAAGGTTTTATTTCATACTGACCAAGTACGAAGTCAATATTAGATGTCAATATTAGATTTATCACGACAAACAGTCCGCATTTCAAATTCCAGGTACCTGCATGCTGCTCCGATTCAGAGGCTGCCATTGTTGCACAACCCGGCACAGTACAACTGCGCCACCCATAAGCAGTCAGATATAAGCAATCAATATGGCCCTAAGGAGTGAAATAGCAGGAATATTTGACTGCTTAGGTATAGCGATAATCAATGGGTATCAATGATAAACTCCGGATACACCTTGAATTTGCCAAACGCTGCCCAAAAAATGGGGATGCGCATTATACTCAGGTGTGGGTTATACTCCGGCAAATGCGGCGCTAATAATTGTATGATCGGAAACTGACATGATTTCAAAGTGTTGCTTGGCAATTGTTATGATGCTAGTAGTGCTTTGACAGTTGACACAGTAATTTGTGTGGTTTGATATTTGAGTGCATCGTGGATTAACAGGTATGGTGGTATAAGAGACTAGAATATTTAGAATACTAGGAAGAAATTCCCTATGGCTTTGTATGCAGAAATTGGATGTTGCTGACTGCTGTTGCTGCTGCTGCTGCTACACTCTTATGTAACTGCAGAATCTGGCAACCAATCAACCCTATAAGGACATTCTAGCCATCAATGCAACTTACGGATAGTTCAAGTCCTAGGAAAGGCTTAGGGGTCGTCCGCAATTATCGAAAGTTTTTTCCAATCCGTAGTAGCTTCAAATTTTTCCTCACCCACCCACCCACCCCCCCAGTCTGTAATAAAATATTGTTGATGGACACACAACGCAACACATATGGAACAAACTCAATCAGTGCTGGTCCATCCTTGTTCGTCGTCTTGGACAACTGCCACAAGCAATTTATTGTTCTGTAATAATCAGAGTCACCAGCGGTTTTGAAAAAGGGCTGCTTCTTCACCGCCTTTCCAAACAACGTCGCCTGTCTGGACATAGTCAATAACAGTCGTCAGCGCCAGCGCTAGACGGAAGGACTTCAAAGGAGTGCATGGAAGACGGTACTCTGGACGAAGGAGACAGTGAAACTCAAAAATAGAAGGTGTCGACTCGCCGTCAAATGCGCCGAACTTTATGATCCCCGGCCCAGGAGCAGCCAAGGAAGTGCGCGCGGGGGCGCAGAAACTGCCAGAACTACAAAAATATTATAAGTGTAGACAGTTCGCGCGCAGCCGCGCGTGGAAAACAGGGGCTACACGTAGACGTACACGTAGCACGCACACGTGTCATTTCGGAAGTTTTTCAATCCGTAACTGGCCTTGACCCACCCACCCACTTTCGAAGCTACTACGGATTGGAAAAAACTTTCGATAATTGCGGACGACCCCTTAGTGCTTTAAAACCCTGTAAGCCATTTTTAGAGTCTCTAGGAACTTGTTACTTGATAAATCTGGGAAAAAAACTATTCACCATACACTTCTGGTGTGTCTTTGTCAGCTGAACTTACTATTTCACTGAGATGAACTCAGGTTTTTTATAATTCTACACAGCTTTATTTTAGTAGCTCTGAAACTGAAATATAATTCAAATTTGTTTGGTAGTAGTAGTAGGGTAGCTCAAGAATTTGATTTGTATTATATTAAATTGCAGGCTGATTGTTTTTATTAAAAGAGACAGAATCAATTATCAATCCAATCATTATTGGAATATACTCAGTGGAGCCCTGGAAAGACGATCAGCGGTGAAACTTGGATGGAACTGCTTGTGTAACCGCTGCACTACAAAGTAGGGAGCAGCTTCTACTGAACTCTGCTGGTATGTCTACTGCTATTAGCAACTGACCGCCGTGCTTCACGGAGAGGCGTTGGATTGTCAGATGGTAGCACAGATGATGCAGCAGTGGGTTGTGATTGTCTGCTGTTGACATTATCAACTGCATTCTCTGCCAGCTCCGCCAGCAAATCTTTAATGTACTCGGCAACAGCTGTAGGACTACAATAGAAAAACACGATGTGACACGGAAATGGAATTCTAGGGCATTTTTTGCTGCATCAGCTTCTAAACGTTTAACCAAACTTGAGATCACATGTGCAAATCACAGCCGTCATAACGAGCAACAGTATGAAAATCAAGCTAGTGTGCCGGCATGTTGATAGAACCGTGACTGATGGGTCTATCACGTTACATGACATACAACGGCCAAGCCGGTTGAATGTAACCAGCAGAGCAACTACAGTACCAATTGTAACAAGTTCCAAGCAGGGAGTAGTAAAAATACGGTATTTTAGTACTCCCTGGTTCCTTGTGTGCCACAACAGATCTTACTTGTAGGGTTCGTCGCCAGCCGTGGAGAGCAGACAATGTGGTGGAGGGTGTTGCCGCTGCACCAGTGACTCATCTGTGTAGTAACTGGCAGTACAGCATGGAGAAAAAGCAAAATTGTTCACTTTAACTTCAACTATTGCACTCAAATACACCCCAAGACCAGCAGTATGTTTCAAAAGATATTTACCCTTCAGTGCATCTTATCATTTTCAGCAAAAATTAAAAATTCATGGTTCGACTCTGAGAGACTGGGTTTAGACTGAGCTTTCCACATCTGCAAGAATGCCACCGCCCTCTAGGACCAAGGCGCTCAGATGTAGCTCCTAAAGCGGCAAGAAGTGAGAACGCCACCGCCCTCGAGGACCAAGGCGCGCAGATGTAGCTCCTAAAGCGGCAAGAAGTGAGTAAGTCAGACACACCATCAAATGGCTGAAGACCGATCCCATTCCGGCATTGCATCCATGTTTTCCATTCACTACATCCATTTTTCCGTACACATATTCCATAAAACTACACAGAAAAACTTGTATGAGTAATAACTGTGTAAAAATATACTTGCTTTGTTGCTTTTGAGACTACTTGAAAGCATGTGCTATGTACTAGTAGTACTCACCACCAATATACACCATACCTGTGCTTCGCAAATGCATCTCTATAGTTTTTGTTGTTGACAACCATGGCTTCACTCTGGTCGTTGTCATCACCACCATTTTCACCTCGGTGAAGTTCTAGAACAGACACCATGGACTGGAAAGGAAAACGAAACGACCAAGTAGCAAGGCATGCACATGCCCAAAGCACGCGGTGCACGTGTTCACGCACAATACAAATACACCTGTCAAACACACACACACACACACACACACACACACACACACACACACACACACACACACAATTGTGCCCCCATCAGTATTGCTGTGAGGAAGCTGGGGTTTCAGCTGAGGAATCCGGTGAATGACGTCAAATGGAAAACTGCAATGGAACGAAATAATATATCTAGTATATAACCTCTGCCAACACTTAATTAACATCAAGCGCATTTATGCCATAACGACATTATGCATGGATAGCTCCTATAAGACTCGTTTTTACCTTTTCAGTCACCAGTATGCTGAAGCTGGTGCCAGAGTGCATAGCATGCAGTTTGGAGGTCGGTGCTGGTATCCTGGCCTGGTTGCTACTCAGCTGACAGCCACTGCGGTCGAGACCACTGTTAGCGGCTACATCAGATGCACACATCACAGTCTGCCCTGTTGCTAAAGACACTACTTGAAGTATGTTTCCAGCCGCAAGAAGAGCATAGCGACATCCAGGGTGCAATAGCTCGTCGGAGATCTTGATAATCAACACACCACAAATATAAGATACAGCACAATGCCACAGCATCATGTTTCAGATCCTATGCATGTACTTGGCTTAGGAAACTTTGAATCAATTCAAAATCCATGCAAGTAACTACATGTACTAAGAAAGCATGCATGTGCGTGTGTAGATCAATGCGCTTCACATCATACAGTGGACTCTCTCATATCCACGCAGCGCCCATCATCCGCATGATAGCAATTGAAGTCTATTGCATGTTTCACCTAACTTACAGCCATGGCAATTCTCCTTTCCGCCCTCACACACTCAACTTGCCTAGCGGACAGCAGTACATCAACACGAGGTGTGACGACTTCAAAGCTGGACAGGCAGATCTGCAAGAGTGTGATGTAAGGATCTGCAGGTGTCAAGGGAAGGAGAACAGCATCATGTTGTGTGCAATGCTTAGTACTGGTAGACAGTATGGTGTGCAGCTCACAGTCTATGACTGGCACTTATAAATGATCATCTTAGTGGCGCAGGTACCGTAGGCTAGCATGCATGTCACAGCTGATGCCTAAAACCTGCGTTCAAGTAGCAATGAGAGCCATAAGTGCATTGCCCTACCTCTTGGTGGACTGCCCTGACAGAGAAGAGCGACTAGAAGAACATGGCGGCTTGGATCAATGACTGCGGCCAGTAGAGGCATTCTATCACCCTGTACAGTAAACAATGTCAGTGACAGCAACAACGTACGACCAAGCCCAATGGGAACTGGAACAGAGATGACTGGAAGAGCACAATACCCACAGCAGTGAGTATAGACTACAGACACTAGAATCCAGTGGTAGTAACAGGATGATTCCGTTGCACCCGTCGTTAGTTTCACTTGCCCATAGTGGGCTGATAAGACCACACCACTAGTCCTAGAATCTGCCTACAGTTTTAGTTTGTGCTCAGATGCCTGGAAGTATGCCATATTGGACTGAGGTCGTGTTCTCATGGGTATCAACGCCTGATTAGGCACACTATTCCCCAAGTCCCTGTATCCAGTATATTAAACATATTGCGAGGATACTGTGGCCAATAGCCCATGCAGTAAATATGGACTATAAGAAGGTGCACATCTTTGCCGAGTACATGTCAAGTCTATTTCCAGGCTACTACCGATACACGCTACACAGCTATAGTACTGCCGGGGGCCGAAGAGCGGATCACCAAGAAACGAACAGGCTGGGATTTCACCCAGCACAGTACACCTATACTTGAAGTAGTAGATACGCATGTGTGTGTGTGTGTGTGTGTGTGTGTGTGTGTGTGTGTGTGTGTGTGTGTGTGTGTGTGTGTGTGTGTGTGTGTGTGTGTGTGTGTGTGTGTGTGTGTGTGTGTGTGTGTGTGTGTGTGTGTGTGTGTGTGTGTGTGTGTGTGTGTGTGTGTGTGTGTGTGTGTGTGTGTGTGTGTGTGTGTGTGTGTGTGTGTGTGTGTGTGTGTGTGTGTGTGTGTGTGTGTGTGTGTGTGTGTGTGTGTGTGTGTGTGTGTGTGTGTGTGTGTGACTCAATGGTGCATAAACTTGTACATAAAAAAATAGAACGGCGCAGGCTACGACTCTGGCCCCCAGTTCTTCGGCACCCAGCAGTACTGTAGGAAAACAATCCGGTGGTGCAACCACATCAACGTAGTCATACCTGCTGCGGTTCATACAGGTGCTCTTCCAGCTGCACCAAGCGGTTATCCTTCTTCATGCGAGTGATGCTGTAAAACGTTGTGCGACTGTCCGGAATCGTATGCTGTGGCGCCATTACGGATGTCTAGGCATGGCATGACAGTTGCATTCAGAAGCAAACTAGTGTTACAGTGTTACAGTGCGCTGCAGAGCAACAATGCCCTTGTCTAATACATGAAGGAGGGAGGAGGAGAGGCGCTGGGGTTTCAGTCATCCAGTGCTGAAACTACAAAAACGTCACAGTAGATATCAGTTGTGTCCACATGTAGATCAGGCAGATCCATAACGGCACGTACAGCTTATCTACCGTGTACGGGTAAGGACAAGTGAGGTACCCCACTATTCTAATAGTTCTCCTTACAAGCAGGCCGAACTCTTAGCTCTTGTTGTCTGGTACTCGGAATAACTCAAACACTTTCCTCTCTCCCCTCTCTTTACTATCATGTGCAGGGCGTAGATGGTCCCCTTCAAGTTTGTGGGGGGGGGGGGAGAGATTGCACAGCCGCACATGTGTAGGATGGCTGGTGCATGCCATTCATGGTCATTATGTGCATGCTGAACCTTGGTCGAAAGTTTTAGGGTGAAGGGGGGTGCACGTGCCCCCTGTGCCCCATGAGGGTTACGTGCCTGATTGTGTATGGGGACACTTACAGCAGTGATGTTTGTTGTAGAGTAGTGCCAGGCTTGTTGCGGTAATTTCAATTTGGATATGGTTTGTTCACCTGCAAGAACAGCCGACAAGAACATCTTTCGGGCAGGTTGCACAACGGCCCATGTCCTCTGTAACACAAAAGCATCGTTTACTTGCTGGGGCTATGGAAGCACACTCAGAGATGTGAAGCTAGATCAGTGTAAATAGGTGCTGGATGAATAGTATTGGCCGAAACGTTGTATAATTATCATGGAATGGTTCGGAAATTTGCAGAGTATTGTGGGATGGGTGAGTTCACCCAATTGTGTCTAGGATGAATAGTAGTACTTCAAGGTATATTCGATACCGTACAAACCGTACAAACTGTACAAATGAGTGAAAAGGTAGAACATGCATGATCTTACTTTCCCATCTCTCTTTGGAAACTTGCTTGCTGGATCGCTTTATCGTCTTTTTGTCAGTGAAAGTGAGCTTAGAGCAGCAGAGGTTGTCAAAGGCACAGAAAAAGGAAAGACAGAAAGACAAAGAGTATTGTGCAAACCTTCATGTGTACTAAGCCACGCAAGAACAACTCCTTCCAGCACAACAATGATCATATGTTTCAAACTCATCCAACAGCGTTCAACATTGAATGATACATTATGTATCATGCTGGAGACAGGTGAGAGTACCATCTACTGCCTAATATTATCCCCTCCCTCCTCCCCTCACCAATTCCCTCCCCTCACCAATTCACGCCCCCCCCCCCACACAAACACTGTACACACCTACCCCCTCCGCCCACAAACTGCACACCTCTTCCTCCTCTGTACCCAACACGAGCACTTAACAGCCTAATTGTCCTTGTACCTTGTCATACTGCTGAAGATGTACCAGTCGAGTTTCCAGCAGATTCAGCCTTGGTACACAAATACACAAGCAGACAGGAGCCAAACAGTATGTACACATCTGCATTGAACATACATACTAGTATACAACAGTGCCCCTGATTTAATCACGGTACATATTAAAATCTTCACTAGTTCGAGGGAAAGACACAAACGGGAAAAGTCTGAAGAAAAAATCGACTGTCAACACCAGGACTAGCTCGAACCAGGGACCCTCGCTAGTAGCCTGCAATGCTCTAACCACTGAGCTATGGTGTAGTCATCATCCCAGCAGAGACTGTTCAACATTTTCTTCAGACTTTGTAACTCACACTTCCTGTGAATCCACACATATTAAAATAGTGAAAATATAAAACCAGGCCGATTTCTGCAAGACATGCCGGACTGATTCAAAATTCACTAACTGGAGAACAGAAATGAATGCTGCCACTGCGCTCTTAAAGCTTCAAAGGCTAAATACAGGCTAGATACAGGCTAGATACAGGCTAGATACAGGCTAGATACAGGCTAGATACAGGCTAGATACAGGCTAGATACAGGCTAGATACAGGCTACCGTGAAAGGCATGAGTCTATCTTAACATCCCGAGAACACGAATACTGTCTCTATTGTTTCGAAAGAACAAGACACTGAATTCACTACAAGGCACGTGTTCAAAGAAACCAGATCGTACTTAACCAGATCTGGACTCTAAGTTATCACTGTTTACAGGAAGCACAAACATGGAGGCCCAGGAAGGTTATAGTCAAGTCGAACATACCGGAATTTTGCAATTGGCGAATACCATCCACGCACATTCTGACACGAGCTGGACACGCCAAGACAGAAAGACCACAACAAGATCGAGAATATCGCTGGGTGAACTCTGAAGACATTCCGCGTCATGTGCATTGTGTGTGCAAGCATAAGCTACTTCTTCTGCCACTTATATTTTTCTCTCCCTTTTACCATTCAAATATCCCTTCCGTGCTTTCACTGTCATGCGTTTGGGCTTGTGACCCGTTTGCTATTGCGAATTCAAATAATAGAATAGAAATATAGACGGAGTAGACGTTACAACATCAAAAGTAGTCAACCTACACACCTTAGGCTTATGCTGTGAATGTGTACGGTCACTGGATCTGAAGCAGTCCCTATAGTTCCTTTCACACACACTACTACTTGATTTAGCAATACTCGAGTAGTGCACTTTGGCGCCGTAGTGTGTTAGGGTTAAAGGGGAAGTTAAGGCAAAAATTAAAATTTCACCAGTTGTAGTCTTCGGGGTGCTGAGTAGAATGGTCGTGGTCCGAGGAAGCTGAGACGTTCCCTTCCTACTTGAATCCCAATCGAACTCGCGCACTTCCACCGAAACTGGGTGACTGCGCCCTACTAGATGGGGATTTGTATGCAAAATGTCACTAAAAGCGCCATTTCGCTCGTATAAAAGCATGGATGACCGCGATTGGCCCATATGTTGTAGTCTTTTGGACGCTGAGTCGATTGGTTTTGGTCCGAAAAGGTTGCGATGCAGCGTTCCTCCTTTATTCCCAATCGAACATGGTTGAACAAGCGGTCACGTGCTCATGCGTACGCCAGTCACCTGGTCACCGTGCCTGCAGGGTACAACTTACTAGCCTGTTTGACCTTTTTTGGGTGCAGTCCTGTCACTCGAGTTGAACTCGAGTTGAACCTTGGTGTGAAAGTTGTCGCCTGCTGGCGTGGTGACCAGGTGATTTGGGCAACCAGGAGCACGTGACCGCTTGTTCAACCATGTTCGATTGGGAATAAAGGAGGAACGCTGCATCGCAGCCTTTTCGGACCAAAACCAGTCGACTCAGTGTCCAAAAGACTACAACATATGGGCCAATCGCGGTCATCCGTGCTTTTATAAGAACGAAATGGCGCATTTAGTGACATTTTGCATACAAATCCCCATCTAGTAGGGCGCAGTCACCCAGTTTCGGTGGAAGTGCGCGAGTTCGATTGGGATTCAAGTAGGAAGGGAGCGTCTCAGCTTTCTCGGACCAAGACCATTCGACTCAGCACCCCGAAGACTACAACTGGTGAAATTTTTAATTTTTGCCTTAACTTCCCCTTTAAGTGGAACTTGGATTAAGCCAAGCTTGAGGAGTCTATAGAAAAGAAAAAAAGGACCAAGAAACTACAAGTTACGCTATAATGTCCACTAACACCACAGTTACTAAACAATCAGCTTTTTTATTTTTTTATTTTTTTATATACTATGTGCACATCCCTACAAAGTAATAGAAGTAATAAAAGAGACAAAGACAAAAGACAAAGACAACAAAGGAGTAGTAGGTGCTACAAGAGCTGTGCTGGTCAGGCGCAGTGCACTCCTCCAACCATTTCGGTCTCGGAATCGACATGGACTGTGCGGGCCAAGGGGTATACTATGAATGATAGACTTATGAGAGCATCTGAGAATGCAACAGAAATGAGAAAGAGAAGATCAGAAAAAACAAATGCAAATAATATAGGTTGATCAAGCTTCAGCTTACGTAGGTCCCTGACAGTCTTAGGGAGAAGGAGAGAGAGAGAGAGAGAGAGAGAGAGAGAGAGAGAGAGAGAGAGACGGAGACGGAGACGGAGACGGAGACGGAGAGAGAGAGAGAGAGAGAGAGAGAGAGAGACGGAGAGAGAGAAAGAGAGAGAGTGAGAGTGAGAGTGATTGAGAGAGAGAGTGAGAGTGAGAGAGAGAGAGAGGGGGGAAGAGAGAGGGAGAGAGAGGGAGAGAGAGAGAGAGGGAGAGAGAGAGAGAGAGAGAGAGAGGGAGAGAGAGAGGGAGAGAGAGGGAGAGAGAGAGAGAGAGAGAGAGGGAGAGAGAGAGAGAGAGAGAGAGAGAGAGAGAGAGAGAGAGAGAGAGAGAGAGAGCGAGAGAGAGAGAGAGAGAGAGAGAGAGAGAGAGAGTAAGTTACATTTATAAAGACAGGTAAGTCTAACAAATGAGGACTGAGACCTCTACAACAGGGTTTTTACGCCTGAAAGCAGGTGCATGATTTAACAAGCAGGTTGTCAGTCTAGATTTTATGCGCAGATGGAGAAAAAGCGCAGAATTTTTGTAATGAGATGAAAAGCAGAAATAATAAGAAATAATAAGAAAAGATGAAATGAAAGCCTGCTCACAACCCCGCCCAGCCTTGCGAACTGGGAGAGAGAGAGAGAGAGAGAGAGAGAGAGAGAGAGAGAGAGGGAGAGAGGGAGAGAGAGAGGGAGAGAGAGGGATAATTATCAGTGGCGTTAGTTGTTGTCCGTTGCCCAAAGCCAGTGCTTGTGGCGCAAATGCCTGTGAAGCTAGTGCAATAACATTGCACGACACTGACCGACGGTACTGACGTTCTACAACTAACTGGCTAACAGAGCATGAGCTGATTGTTTAGTAACTGGTGGTGTTAGTGGACAATATAGCATAACTTGTAGTTCATTGGTCCTTTTTCTTTTCTATAAATTTATCATATGGCCTTGGCTCTCCATCCGAGTCCATTTGTTGGTTTTTAGTACTTTTTACCAATTGGAGAAAGACCGGACAACACGGATGGCGCCACGGCCAGCGTTGGCGATACTACAATTGCTTAACATGCAGAATGACTTTGATCTGATGTCACTGGGTCCCAAGGACGAGAAGGAGCAAGAACACTACGCCGCCTTGAGCCTGGCCCACCTTCGTTATCGGCCTAGCGGAGGTGATGTGAAGAAAGCTTTTCGCAGCATCGTGTTGAAGGGGAGTACATTCATCCTACCAGTCTGCAGTACCCATCCAAGTGAAGAGATCAGTCGCAACATGCCAAAAGCGCCGAGCACATAACAAACGCCTCCACAACATCAAGAGAGCTATATGACTGTTGAAGATAAAATTGTTGACAGAGAATGATTATCCCGCGAGTGAAATCCGGCGGGCAGAGTCTTCGGCGAGGTGAGCAGGGGCCCAGACTGGCAAGAAAACTGGCAAGAAATCCGGCATAATGTAATCAAGGCCAACAGAGGAAGCCCCACTTCCAGCGGTTATCAAGTTGCCGTTCATCAATGGTCGTCTCGCAAGCGAGGTGAAACGTAGAGTTCGTCGTTTTAGTTCTGGTTCAAAGGTAGCATTTACGTCGAGCGAATCTCTGAGTGATGTTCTCGTCGGTGCGTCTGCAGAGCCTCGATGTTGTTTGAGCAAAGGCGTCGTGTATTCCGTGTGCTGTACTGTTTGTGGCAAAGAGTATTTTGATGAAACAGAGCATCCTATTTACTTTAAGATTAGGTGAACATTATCGTGAGGCACGGACCCTAGTTGCCAAGTCCCCCTGGGGCTTTCATTATCGAACAGAGCCGGGACAAGGACGCGGTGAGAACAGTGGCAGCATTCGAGCATTTCCACGATGCTAAGGAAGCACATCATAACCGGGTCGCCGAGGCCAATTTCCGAATCAAAGATACCCAGTACAATGTGGCCTAGTTTATACGTCAGATTTGTGGATGACTCGTTTACTCATTTCCCTAATCTGGATCGTTGTGACGAGTTTCTCCATGCTCTCAATAACCTCCATCCGGCTCTGAAGTTTACTTGCGAACATGAACAGTCGAGCCGTTTGTCCTTTCTTGATGTGTTGATGTGTTAGTGCAGAGCAGTGACAGTGGCGTTGTAACTTTGGTCTATCGCAAACCAACCGTTACGGGACAGTACATAGTATACGACTCTTATTGCTCGTCCCTGTATAAAACTAATCTTGTACGTAATCTTATCGAGCGTGCTAAGCGGATTTGCTCACCGAGCAAGCTTGAAGAAGAGCTAGCCTTCCTTAGACAAGTTTTTGTTAAGAATGGTTACCCAGTACAACTCTTGAACAAACTATTTTGAACCTGTTGTCAATGCCACTGAACAGCCTTTCGGGCCCAATCTGTGCCGAGTCTTTTTGAGACTCCCATGGAAGGGTCAAGTATCACTAGATGTAGCCCGAGAAGTGAAACAAATCGTCAAACAAATTTACTTCGCTACCTCCTTTACGCCAGTCTTCACTACAGTGCGTGCGTTCACGGTGAAGAAGGACGTTCTTCCTACCCAATTAATTAGCCATGTAATTTGAATGTCGGCATTGTGTTAGCCGATATGTAGGAAGAACCCTTCAGCACCTGAACGCACGTGTTAAACAACATGTACCGCTCTATCTATTATCAGACAGTGCGAGAGCCCTACGGCCTAGACGAGGCCGACTAAGCCCTTGAAGGAGACTCACATCAGACAAACGACTCGGTGCCAACTTTTACCTGAGGAGACTACACGATTAACAGACAGCCCAGATGCTAGCCAGTCCGAGACGCATCGACCAATAACACGCAGCACGACCCGATCAACACGAATGAATCAGTCTACCAATGGACATGGACCCGAAGCAGCAACGGACGTGACAACACTATTGACGGAGGATGAGGATCGACAGACCATGGACGATGAAGGTACTGGCAGTGATGGAGAGCAGGACGTGGATGTTGAGGCCAACAGTGGACAGATGGAAGGTGAGGGTGATGATACTGGAAAGAGATCCGCAATAAAGAAAAACCTGTTGTCCAACAGTCAATGCCGTTCCGTTTATGACAACTCTTGTTGCACAGTTTTGTGCCGTGCTTGTAGGTTTAGTGAACTTAAAGTATTGGAAGCTGTTTTCATTCGCAAACATAACCCCAACCTATGCATCCAGAAAGAAAATGTGACTATTATCCTAGCATTCACACACACACACATACACCCACCCACATACCCATGTGTGTACTCCTTACACTTCACCCTCTCCGCGAGTCTCACATTGTTATTATTTCTCACCTGCCCACCCCTGTTATTAGTTCACACTTCTCTAGTTCGCACTTCACCTTCTTTTCTCCTATTTTCTTTCGCATAGTGCATTTCGTACTCTTCCACGTATATATTGTTGTTTATTGCTAGATTTCATTATTCTCTAGAAAACTTGTTAGGAAACTTTATTATCCATCTTTTATTTCTGTTCATTTATATACTACGTCCAATGTCCGCTTCGCTGATTCTGCTGATTGCCACAATAAAGTTATTGTCTCCGCGCCGCTTATTCGTAATGTTGGAAGTGTGTCTACGCCAAGTTTCTTAAAACGAAGGGCAAGAAAATCTGTACTGAAGCGTTATGCCCGCATGGTTCCAACCCCAAATCACAATATCAATGCATGCATTCCTTACCTCCAAAGAATATGTGTTACCTACTGACCCTACCCCCCCCCCCCCCTCTCTCTCTCCCCCCTCCCCTCAGTCCCCTCTCTCCATCTCCCCGGGCCTCTCCCCCTCGAGATACTTTTAGTGCCCCAAACTCGTGAACTTAGCTCATTGACTACAAGAAGTCCAGACAGAACTCGTATGCAAGTTCACACACACGTATTCTTTCAAAAGCACATGAATCCAGTGCATACCTGGATTGACTCCATTTGCAAAGGACACCGTCCTCATCCATCGACATCATGACGGCTTGGTTCTTGATGAGTTCCAGTGCAACCAGCCGTGCACAGTGGCCTTGGAATGTGGATCTCTGTATCATGAGCAGTGCCGCATACACAGGCACACAGTGGATCGTGGACACTTGCACAGGCATATGCATGAACATCAACAATGCCATCCATGTGTTAGTATGCATGTACAGTGCTGCTCAATGAAATCCAGTCGCGTCACTCAACTTTGCGCCTTGCCGCCATTTCGCAGCCCAGTGTCCGCAGGTCTAGGGCTGGGGCTGCGCAACGCCCGGCGCATACTTGAGGGATGAGACTAGATTTCATTGAGCAGGACTGTATACACAAATTCAGGCCTCCATTCATACAGACTGCCAGGAACAACACAAAAAAAGTAGATACCCAAAACACTGCCTGGAAGTAGACAGCAGGATAACACATGTGTCATTGGTTGCACAAGTTATGAGTCGTGCGTATTCAGACCTTTGTCCGCAATATTTAAGATCCACTCGGACCACAATACAGTGTCTGCTTAAAGATACTGGACAAGGAGGACTTACCATTCGCACTACCCCTGTGCTGGGGTCAAGGACAAGCTGAACAATGGTTCCACAGGTCAGGCCAAAGACCAGTCTATCCTGCAACACAGCCCCAGAAGCATCATACCAAGCACAGCAAATTTCACAGCTCCACTTGTCCATGTACAGCATGGCCACGATCTAGAATGCCCTGGATGTGACAAAAATATTTTCATATTTCCTGTAAAGAGAAAAGGACCTATAAGTTACTAGTTATTACTGACTCAGTGAGTCCACCAAGGTAACGAGATAATATACAGTCAGATAGTGCGACAACAAGGCAAAAAACTGACAAGGATACTGATACATTCGACGACCCAACACCTAGTTCTAACACATATGTAGGACTCAGTATAGAGTCCATGCACTATATGATGTCCAGCACCCTATATAGAGTCCATTGGTCCAAAATCCACTATACAGAGTCCAGGAGTCCACTCAGTTTTGATCAGCTTCATCCTGCCGCGCAATCCCCTATAAGGAGTACACTTTTTCTACAAGTCCCCTATTCACGGTCCAGGATCGGAGTCCAGTTTATCCAGTCACGCCGTCCTGTGTGTTGTGCCCGAAAGAGAACACATTTTCAGTTTTGCTTGCCTCGTGGCAGCGCATTCCTTTCTTCACTTCAGCCATGGCTGCCAATTCTGCTGTGCAGTTGCTGACAGTAATCTGTCTCGAGCTAACCAAGGAGGATAAGGAGACGTTCAAAATCAAATCTGGAAAGCGTCTTGTGGTTCTCTGAAGACGTTTCATCAGTGCGCGGGATGAAAGCAGAAATTGCAGAACGAGAAAAGTTCAGCACAGTTCAAATCTGACGAGGCAGGTACACTGACGCTCTCTTTCGTTCGACGCCACAAGGATCCCCTGTTTGGCTGGCCATTTCTGCCAGTAAGACGTTTGAACGGTTTCATCAGAGCGAGGGATGAAAGCAGAAAGCGGAGAAAGAGAAAAGTTCAGCACAGTTGCAATCTGACGAGTCAGATACACTGACACTCTCTTTCGTTCGACGCCACAAGGATACCCCTGTTTGACTAGACAAGAGCTGCCTGTACCACCGTGTCAAAAGGCTGTGCAACTACATGGCAGGACGATGACTGAGGTAAGGAAGCTTTTACTCGTTTCGATTGGTCTGCTGTTCTGTCGTTATGCTTGAATTTTTTTTCCATTTTCAAGGAGCGTATCGCGTTTGTTTGATGTTGCTTGAATGAATGCCCTAAAAGTAATCAACCACTTCGTAATAGTCCTCAAGGACTGCAAGGACTTTGCATCAATCGTATATTATGATCGTCTAGCTATCATCAATAATTATTTTATTTCATGAGAAATGTATTTTTATCCCTGTGATAATTATGTGAACTCCACGACACTCTTCCTGTAGTATGATATCAAATACAATGGGATCCACAAACGCAGTGCCAGTGTACTAGTAGTAGTAGGACTAGGAGGATTGCTTGTATGCCAATGATAAGAAAAAGCTTCTCAAGCTAATACTCGTAGCTAATACTCGTATTCCCTGAAGTAACCGTTTTGATGTCACGAACATGACATTGTGTCAGTGAAACTGCCTCGTGACAACAAATCATTGCATTTCCATCTTGGGGAAGACTGACAGCAACGCTGTACAGATTGTTCAAATCATCTCATTTCAATTTAGTTGCAGTGAAGTGAAACACTGTGTACACTACATGTATGTTGGTGTGTCTGTGCGTCTTGAGTGTGCACAAACGATCTTATTCCTCGTATTACTAATAGATTATTTTCCCCACCATCACCTGTTCACAGGTCTTTGAGTGGATTGATTTTCATTGAGCATCACATTCGTTGAGAACTTGGTAGTTGTGTGCTCCCATGCATCATTACGGTAATAAGCGTATCCTTGTGCTATCTATTTGTTGCAGGTGTGCTGATCTTCAGAAGCTTGCGGAACTGAGTGCTGCTGAACATTTGCATGGCCATGAGCAATGGTGAAGCTTGCTATTGCACTCTCAGCATGTACTAGTATTATGCTGACCACTGCACTATGTTACTCTCTTACACTACTACGTGTATGTAAACGTGCGTGTACCCGTCCCCGTACGCATTCGTTTCGTATAATTATTTGTTATCCATCTTGACTTTACATGTAAGTGGGTGGACGTTTGCATGGCTGTTGGAGTTGCGTGTGTATTGTGTCTCTACTCTTTTCTTGGTGTTTTCTTGGCGTTGTATAAGTTTGTGTGTGTGTGTGTGTGTGTGTGTGTGTGCGCGCGCGCGCGCACAATAATTTGAAAACAAATAATTAATCCTGGGCTCTCCATTATTCCCTTTCGATTCTTGTTTTTTTTCTAGGTATTTTCTTGGCGTTGTGTGGGAGTGTGCATGTGTGTGCGTGCACAATAATTTGGCAACACTACATGATTGAGATATTGTAATTTGCAGCGTCTGCGAAGAGACCACTTGATTTGAGGATGGTGTTTGTAGGGTTTTTCATGTAATGAAGTGGCTGCAGTGGCGCCTCAATACATATTTTTTTATCTTGAGAAGTGAATGATGTAAAGGATTAAAGGGAGAGGCCGTTTTCTGGTTAATATTCACTGCTTACAGCAGATCCTATGTCTATTTTCGAACTCGATAGGGGATGCCTAATTGGCTGGACTTTATACAGGGGGTGTTGTCCACATAGACTCTTTATAGTTGATTTCAAAGTTTGGACTCCGTACAGTTGATTTTGGACCAATGGACTCTATATAGGGGTGAAGCCAATTGGCTGGACTCTATACAGGGAGTGATGTCCATCGAAACTTTGAGCTCACAGTTGATTCCAAGTTTGGACTCTGTACAGTGGATTTTGGACCAATGGACTCTATATAGGGGTTGGACATCATATAGGGGCTGGACGCTCTACTGAGTCCAACACATATACGAAGCGCACACCAACAACTATCCAACTTGGATGTGTTAGAACTAGGTGTCAGGTCGTCGATTGTATCAATATCCTTGTCAGTTGTGTGCCTTGTTGTCGCACTATCTGACTGTATATTATCTTGTAACCTTAGTGGACTGTTAGTCTTAACTAGTAACTTATGGTCCTTTTCTTTTTACATATTGCTATTGGTTCAACATCCGAGTTATCATATTTTTGTGATAATTATAGTTGCTCATGATGGACATGCCCAATTGTTGCAGGAGGAGAAGGCATGGGCGTTGGAAGGCATTCGACATTGATGTCACAAAGAAGTGGGGCCCTCCCCGAGGAAAAATTGGAAAAATGGGCCCATTTATTGTGTCAAAAACCACAAAAACGTTTTTCACTTGAGAGGGCTTTTACCCCTGTCGTATTCCACAAATTGTACATATCACCACCTAGTCTTTCACATTATGTGAGGACTGTCCCCAGTATTGTGATCATGTGGCATGTATCAGCAGCTGCCACTCCTAGAAAAAGATGATGAAAGAAAGACGAGGAGATTGAAAGAGATTGTCATCATACCATACAAGGGAAAGATGCCAATACTACATCCTAATGCCGGGAAAGTAACACACCAGGATATTGTGATATGCTCCAAAACAGCCATATCCAGGTGAAGCCCTCGGATAAGAGCAAAGCTTTGCACATGCCTAGTCTTCCTCTGCGGCCTGTTGAATCGACCATGCGTTGAAGTGTTCAGCCAGAAATGTATCGTTATTGCTAACACACTCCTAATGAGGTGCTCTCCCTTGCGTAAGTGCAGTTCCTACAACAGCGGATTGTATTAAGTATGGCGCTGCGCCGAGTCTGAAGGATATTCCCCATGATTGCTTGTGGCATCTTTGGAAGGTGTCTCGTTGGACTTAAATTACCATCTCGAGGAAAGTGCCAGTGCAGCAATCAAACTGCTGGAGCGGGGGTGCCAGAAGGAAGTTGATATGTTTTCCTTATCAATATTGGATATACAGGAGTTGTGTCTGAGACGTTGTCTGGACAACGGTGTTTGTCCAAGTGGTGTCGAGAACCGTGTCCGCAGGACCAAAGCGTATCACATGTTAAGCATTGAACCTGTATTTATGAAAGACGAGATTGCTCATTCCTGCGACTCTTTGTTTAAGTCACGTTTGTGGTTTAGGTGCTTGTATGAGCGTGCACGCTCATTTCTATCCTCACATGACTTCTTGAGATTCTCCATGCTCCTTTCGGAAAATGACCAGAACCAACGTATCAAACTAATCACAAAACATGACAAGACCTACAATTGGCTAAGAAAGAAAAGATATGGCCATGTCACCATCAATCCTGAAGCCCCCATCATCAACATGACATCACTAGATTTGACCACTGTTCAGAAAGAGCTTCGATTTCGAGATTCCACCGAAATCTAACAAGAAGTCATCATGACTGAGTTTGAGCTATTTCACCGCAAATTATTACGCTTCAGACCAATATCTGATTCACAACAGTCCATTCGCTGCAAAGATCCGAGCAGAGGCCGAGGAACACGCTGACACATTACCGGATAAAAGATCATTTTCATTGAACCGTGAACACCTCAAAGCCCTGCGTGAATTACGGAATAAGAAAGAAAACATTTGCCAATACCGGTCCAAGGGGCGACACCCGGCACTTCGCTTCACAAGCGAACATGAACAATCAAATAAACTGGCGTTCCTTGACGTTTCGGTGGAGAAGACTGAGGGTAGTGTGGTCACCTCGGTGTATAGGAAACCCACCTTCACAGGGTAGTATATTGCATACGATTCTTATTGCTCTACTTAATATTAAGTGAACTCGGTACCAAATTTGTTGGATCGTGCACGGCGAATTTGTTCAGCTACTAAGCTTCTTGAGGAACTGGATTTCTTAAAAACGGTATTCCACAAAAATGGATATCCTGAGGACATGGTGGCACGACTAGTCGATAGTGAAATAACAAATCAGGATAAAGGTTATGGACCGGATCGTTGTCGAATATACCTTCGACTGCCATGGAAAGGCAATCTCTCCAACGCTGTCACACATACGGTCAGGTCGTTGGTTTCTGATACCTACTATGACGTGGCCTTCACAACTGTGTTCACGACGATGCGTCCATTCACGGTGAGGAAGGATGTTCTTCCAACCCTCAAACGTAGCCAATTGGTTAATCAATTTGAATGTCGGCATTGCGACAGCCGATATGTTGGAAGAACTCTTCAACACCTGAGTGAACGCATCAAACAGCATGTACTTTTGTATATCTTGCCACAGTCTGCACAAGTTCAACGGCCAAAGCGAGGAAGACCGCGCCTCCGCCCCACTCCGATAACATCACAGGAGTCAGAATGTGTGCTCCTTGGTCCTGTTCAGGATGTACAAAGATCTGATTCAGAGACCATATCACTAGCATACGGGAAACCGTTGTCGAACACACCGCTGCCAACATCTGAAACTGCTTCCTCCATCCGTGCGTGCAGTGAACATCCGAAACAGGACAGGGCACAAACTTCAACTCAGCCTCTTACCGCCTCAGTGCCTGATGGAGTGGTTTCGCAACAGTATCCATCAACAGCAAAGAGGAAGAGAGGTAGGCCTCGTAAAACACCAGTGCCAATATCTCCACCCCTATCCCTTCCTCCACCCTCCTTGCAGCGTGCATGCTGTTTTGTGCACACCTTTGTGAGAAGCATCACACTTTGATATTTTAGTGCTGTCACTGTACCCTGCTACTCTAACTTGATTGCTATATTATTTCCTTTATTCTTATTTTGTTCTTTAGTACAACGGTGATTCCTGAAGAGTGTTGTACGAAAACTTGTTCAAATCATCTTTTTTTCATCACTTTTTCTCCTTACATGCATTTCTCCTTACCTTTTAGATTGTTTTCGCATCGTCTCCATCACTTAACATTGTTTGATAAAGTACACTGTAATCCAAATTTAATGTCACTTCAGCTCTTCCTCCCTATTGCCATACTAAAATTGTTGTCTCCTCATCAAATATTTAAAGGGTTAATAGCGCATAATTTTTGGACGTGACACGCAATTTCACAAATGGGTCATTGATTGGTGTAAACTGCCGAATTTCGACATGAAATACAGCTCTCTCGCATTGTTTTCCAACAGGGCAAGGCAAAAAACTCGAGCGGAACTTTTGCGTAATCAGTGTCAGCTCAACTTTTCTAAAGTGTGCCTAACACCCTGGAGAACACGGTATGTGTTTGATATCTGTTTGGCACCTGTCGTGTATATTAGAATCATTCGGAGCATCCTCCTACCCCCCCCCCCCCCCCATGCGTTCACCTTTACACTCAATGTACATGTACGCACAGCCTGCTAGGGCTCCGGCAGGATGGCGTTGCCTACAGCGTACATGTATACGTGCAACATTTTATTCCCAATACATCCTGTGGCGGATCAGGTTTAGCTCATTCGAAACTATAATATTATCTGTATCCCACCAGTTAAACCAGCTGTGGAAAGTGGCCATCGAGTACTAAATCTCTCTAATTCTCTCTTGTGCTCCCAGCGCAGCAGTTTGCACCACCACTTTGTAGCATGGTGTTTTTAAACAAATGGTCAACGGTATCTCGGCAGATGGGCTGTCATCTGAACGAAATCACGATTATTCTTCCTGCCGATGCCTCATTCGTCCCTTGCCGAGGCTTTCTCCAGTATGTATTCCTCATTTACCCTCTTCCTTGTGAATTACATGTACTTGTTACGACATCATGTCCGCTCGCTCTGTACCTGTGTGTTTGAGTGCATCGAGAGACCCATCAATCCAACCAAAGATTTGATTGCAGGATAGTGGCACGCGGGTCCAGAAGCCAAGCGAGTAATCAAAAACACGGAACACAGCACACCTAACAAGCCGGATACGCTCTGCATACCTGTGTCGATCCCATGGCAGTTGGGGATGGCCAGATCAGGTGGCTGACCTTGTTGTCGCCATTCAAATCCCCTGTACGCACATAACACAATATTGGAGAAAAATGAACTACACCCGACAATGGTTGTAGCACAATGAATTAGGTTCTGAAAGTTACCGTACCACTTACAAGGCGGCTATTGCACCAGCATAAATCACGGACACTGTCTTGATACAAAGGTTACATGAAGGCTGAATAGTTAGCACTTCATTCCTTGGAATGTACGCTACACTAGGAATATCAGTCCATTTTAAGAATGACCGCCCCATGCAATGTTATTGTACCAGAAAAACAGAAAAGGGAATGCTATAGTTGAGCTCAATGACTTGAACATAAATTCTGCCTAGAAATGTACACAAACCTATTCCACACCCAGACAATTGAGGCCGAATTCCGAATTCGATGTACATGCATGACAAGATCTTCACCAATATCAGACTTTCTCTTACCAGTGATGGATGCTGCAGGCTCAGTGATGAATAGTGAGAGTTCAGACAGTATGGCTGTTACAAAAGCACATGCACACACACACACACACACACACACACACACACACACACACACACACACACACACACACACACACACACACACACACACACACACACACCATTGGACCATTGGACCACTGGACGCCCATCGCCGGAGGCGATGATAGCGATGCTACAGCAGAAGCCATAGCAACTTGTCCTGGGATTGCACCATTCAACAGCTTGCAAGGCTGAAGAATTGGCCGCCACTATTCAGCCTGGTCTACACCACACAGCTATGAAGTGGCTTTTTCTGGCCAGTGAATCCCTACTTTTTGGTCTTTATATTTTTTATTTTTTTCCCGCACACACATTACACCACATACTCCGACATGCACTGGTTGTTGGTAACCACCCAGGAGAATGAAAGAAAAGTCAGGAAGAGTCTGAGAAAGAGAAGAAAGACGTGTGTGACCATAATTGTCGGGAATCGAACCCGCAACCTATCGATTGGAAATCGCTACATGCACGCACACGCACACACACACACACACACACACACACACACACACACACACACACACACACACACACACACACACACACACACACACACACACACACACACACACACACACACACACACACTTTAAAACACACACAAACACACACACACACACCGTACTCGCGCGATTGGTGTCCCTGAGGCACTATTTTTTCAACGTCCATCACTGATGGGGCACCGGCTATTCAAGAGAGGGCACTATTCAAGAGAGGGTACTATTTTCCAATGCTGGTGCCTTTGCATCATCCAGCATAAAAACAAAACAAAACAAAGAACAACAGAGCCTGAAGTTTACTGTAAACTATCACGACTCAATAGAAGCGGTAACAAGAACAGCGAACTTGATCCTGAAACTTCAATATGGGCTGGGTTACAAACCCGGGGGGGGGGGGGGGGGGGGGCTGGTAGCTCGCAAAACAGAACACCTCAGTGGCACAAAATAGACCCTAAATTGCACAGCATTGGCTTTTTCAAGGTGCATGCAGGGGTGGCCATGGTGAATGAACCAATGTCCTTTGCTAGGCCTATACGGTTCAACTGTACCTTGGGCTTGCACAGGGAGGCTCAGAATGGAACCTTTCGACAGCAATTTCCTGAGTCTTGCGGGGGCGGCCACAGTGGCCTGTGTTGATACAACGGACTGGCGCGCAGGCCGTGCCTGTCTACTCCACACACTCAGTGAGCCCTACAGGACAGCGGAAAAGAACACACGGCAACATGCCATGATTCAGTGGACGGAACATAGCGAGAAGCATAATTGCACTGAAGAAAATGGTTGAACTTGAACTTATGGAAGAGGTCGGTATGAATCCCAAATCTCAGATTTTCAAGTGAGTTACTTTAGGAATGCTCCAACCCTCTGAGCAACTCCCGAACCTTGCTCGGGCACTCGGAAATCTACCCCCATTTTCATACACAAAATCCACTTACATTTCCATGTACGCCGGCAAGCCGCTTTGAGTCGCATGACCAGGCCAGGTGCAGGGCAGGACTGGATTGATTAACCGATGGTTGACTTGCAGATGGATTGACACATGCAAACGGCTGTTGAGTATCCGTATACCAGACAACGATTGTACCTTCATACGAAAAATACACAACAGGGGGACTGCATTATAATGAATACAGGATTGGACTGTTCAATGTGAACAAGCATCCCTTACCACTCACACCATGTACCGTCCACGCTCCCCTCGTCATCAGCACTCCCCTCTGTGCCCTTCCTTTCCTCGCCACCCTCACTCTATTCAATGTCCCATTGCCGTCCACACTCTACTCGTCACCCCCCCCCCCCCCGCCCAACGGCACTCGTCGTCCCCTTTCCGTCCACGCACATCATATCCTCCATGCATACTTCCCCAGTTTATCCGATCCACACTCCCCTTACCATCCTTATTGGCCAGAGCTAGTTGATCATGTCCCTCATCAAGGCAGGCAGCGGTTACTTCCCATTTACTGGCAAATGGGTTCTGGAGTTGCACCAACGGTTTTGCCATGAAGCCCTGTGAGGACAACCCACAAAACCAAAAAAGCACACAATAGAGAAATGCTAACCTTTCTTGGTGGTGCGCTAATCCCGTACAGCATGTTTCAACTCTGTTGGGGATGTCTAGCCGCGTTGTCCTGAACCCATTTGATGTTTGCACCGTGCGTTGCCACGGCCCAATGTGTGATCACGGATTTGTGTGGAGTACTTGGTTATTTCAGATCTATTGCTTGAACTAAGGTCTAAATTTCTTCCTGTATCTAGCCTCCAGCCTTTAAATGTGTGGTGAGGTAAAGCATGATGGATGTACTTAGAAACTGGCACTGATGAGTGAGGTTGTCTGGCTTTGAAATCAACAAAAAGTATAATTTGCCACCGTTACGAATTTGAAGAGCTTTGCTTTGCTTCATGGTACGTCGATGGTAGACTTTGTCAGGCTGATGGGCAGCCACCTCCAGGTGTATCGCCAGGCAGGAAACTCACATTAGATGACGTGTGTGAAACTTCAGCCAATTCCTGTACGAGTCAGTTATGTACTCAGTAGCTGGCACTGATGAATGATGTAAAGCAGATCAGACGCATGGTCCAATCTTTCATAGAGTCTGTGAGATCAGTTTGGCACATGCGCGCTGCAGGAATGAATTACATACTGTAGAACGGGTTATTTTAGCAACGTAAAAACCCTAGCGAATTTAGCGATTTACTCATTTTCGCTAAAGTTTCAAGTCGCTAATCCGTTGAGACATTAGTAGTGCACTGGTGATCCGCGAGTAAAATCGCTGCAAATCGCTAAAGTAAAACGTCGCTAACCCATTGACAATGGGAAAACGCTAAAATTAATAGTCGCTACTTCTAATTACCCGTTCTACAGTACAAAGCGTAATGTTCAGCTTCTGTAGATGTACGTTGGGTTTTTGCCTTGGTACTAACGGCATTTTGCCCTTGCCATGAATTGCCCCACAAAGGCTCGCCGTGCATTATCAAGCAGTGCATGCTATAGTGACTATAGTGACTATGGTGACTATGGTGACTATGGTGACTATGGTGACTATGGTGACTTCCGGGTTGCGAGCCCTGACCTTCCAGTAATGTAATTCCGTCTGCTCAAAATCTTCATCCTCTTCGCAAAGACCACCTGTTTGCTGGTTTGAGGCTGTGTTTTGAAGTACTTTGACATCATTCCACATGATCAGCGTTGGTTCATCACTGCATGCATCAAACAAGAAAGCAAACCACAGTACATATACTTGCACAATGAGTGCACAGCCACAAGGACTTGTCAGTTGACATGTTAATGACGTTGTGCCCCCTCCCTCCTTCCCCTCCCTCCCTCCCTCCCTCCCTCCCTCTCTCTCTCTATTGGCGACTGGCAAGCACCGCTGCAATGAGTTGGTCAGGTTGGTCATTCATTCACTTGTCGTGAATCCCTTTGTCCGGTAACAGAGATGCCGGTGATTTTTAGCTAGTTCACTTGTTATACTAGTTACTTGTACTATTACCACAATTAGGAATTGCAGAGTTCTGGCAAGGAGACAAGAATGACATCAATTTGGCAGACTTTGCTAAGCCCGTGTTGTGCTGTGGTTCAATAGCAATCAGGGCAACGCTAAGGATGATCCCATGATTCTACACAGCTACTATTACAGCATACACATTACCATCCCACCACCACCCCTGCTCCATCCCCATCTCTTGGAACAACTAACATTGTGAGGTGTCAATAGGTAGGTTCAGTTCCTACATGATCATCTGCTTGGTGAAATTACACAATGTCATCATGTCAACCCCTATAACTAACCCAACGGTTACAGATCCATCTTCTCCAAGTAGTGACAGTTTCTGAGTGTGAACGGAAATATGATCCCTGAGGTGCATAGGACAAAGAAGAATTCAATTGATGCTATAAGGGTCAATCTCGTGTGCGCGCACCCACACCGTACATACGCACACCCCGCCCCCTCCCACGCGCACACACATACACGTCTACATCCCACACACTCACGCCCACATCTACAACCCCCCCCCCCCCACACACACACCCGCCGAGTGACGCGCACACACATACACGTCTACATCCCACACACTTACGCCCACATCTACAACCCCCCCCCCCCACACACACACACCCGCCGAGTGACGCGCACACACATACACGTCTACATTCCACACACTCACGCCCACATCTACACCCCCCCCCCCACACACACACACATGCATGCCCCTCCCAACATGCACACACCAAACTGACAGACCCAGGCACATACTTCAAACACACGGGGACTGGATCACCACACAGGTGCATCACTTAAAGGGGTCCCACATTTCTGGGTGTTTGGTCAAAGGAAGTGAATGTCACAGAGGACCATGATTGATAGTGTAGTGTATGTACCAGACATGTATTCATCTAATTGCAAGTACTATTGATCCACCCTAAAACCACAACCGCTTAGGCATGAACTCTCTATAGCAATTCATTGTACTGCCACCCAACACCCAACGCATCCCGCACCCGGGATACAACTCCTATATCCTCTAGCACAATCATACCTCAACGCTTCTTATTGCTTTGCAACCGTAGAATAAGCTTGTATGTAAACTCTACGTGTGAACCCACAGTCTCTTGGTTAGAGACACAACAACTGGCGACGAAGATGGCCGTTGCAATTGGAGCCATGGAACCATTTTCGGTTGGAACGACGGATTGGTCTACGTACTATGACCGCGTCGAGCAGTACTTCGCTGCCAACAATGTGGCCGAAGACAGGCAAGTAGCCACCTTCCTGACCCTGATTGGTGGCTTGACCTACAAACTGTTGGCTGACCTGGTCAGCCCGGACAAACCGAAGGACAAGATGCTGAAGGAGCTGTCCGACGCGCTGGCTGCGCATTGTGCTCCGAAGCCCTTGGTGATCGCGGAACGATACCGTTTCCACAAGCGGGATCAACGCCAAGGAGAGTCAGTAAATGCCTACCTCGCGGAGCTCCGACGGTTGGCACGATTCTGTGAGTTTGGCGATGTCCTGGATACCACGCTGCGGGATCGGTTCGTGTGTGGTATCAGGAGTCAAGCTCTCTGCAAAGTTCTGTTGGCAGAGAAGGACCTCACTCTGAAGACCGCCATCGAGAAAGCCAACAGCCTGGAGGTAGCCACTCGCGATGCATCCGAGCTCGCGGGCAGTGCCACTGCTGCTGGTGTACACGTTCTGGGCACATCGCAACATCGTCGTGCTGGCAGACCATCGTTCGGAGGTGCGAAGTCCGCGAACTCAGGTCAATCCCGTACGAGCTATTCAGCATGCTTCCGCTGTGGCTCGACGGCACACGGCGCAAGTGAATGTCCCTTCAAGGCATATGAATGCCGCCACTGCAGGAAGACTGGGCACCTCCGCAAGGTTTGCAAGAAGCGCCTCGCGGAAAGATCGACAGATTCAGCGAAACGCTCAAGTGGTAGCAGCGCCTGCCACAGCTTGGCTGTCGATGTCGCGGACGACGACGAGTTCAATTCACTTTCTCTTCTAGCCGCAGACGTCCTTCAAGCGCCAGCAGTCGCCACGGATGAAACGACACCCACGACCGGGCGGAAGGCACTTTGGATTGATGCTATCGTCACTGGCCAGTCGGTCCGCATGCAGGTCGACACTGGAGCTGCGGTGTCAATCATTCCGAGTGCGATTTATCGAAAGTCGCTGTCTGCCTCGCCTCTCACCGCGAGCAAGCTGAAGTTGCGTACGTACACCGGCGAGCCCGTGCATCCTCGCGGAACGTTCGTAGCACGCGTGGAATACTACCATCAATCCGCGGAGCTACCACTGCATGTGGTGGACACGCAGGGGCCAGCGCTCTGTGGCCGAGACCTGCTTGCCCACATCGCTCTTGACTGGCAGCGCTTGTTCCAGGTCGAGATGGCTGACGTCCCCTCCGCAACCGTGTCCCCTGGCCAGCAGCATCCAGGATCAGCAGGTACGCGTCTTGAGCAGCTCAAGGAGAAATTCTCCGATGTGTTCAGCGACGACTTTGGCAAGCTCAAGGACGCCAAGGCTCGTCTCCAGCTGAAGGACGATGCAAGCCCTCGCTTCCTCAAGGCGCGCCCATTGCCCTACGCCATGCGGCCAAAGGTGGAAGCTGAACTGGACAGGCTGGAAGGTCTGGGTATCGTGAGTAAGGTACAGTGGAGTGAGTGGGCGACACCTGTTGTGCCTGTGATGAAGCCCAACGGCTCAGTTCGTCTCTGTGGAGATTTCAAAGCCACATTGAATCCACACCTGAAGGTGGACCAGCACCCGCTACCACGCGTGGAAGATGTCTTCGCCACCCTGGCTGGAGGCCAGCGATTCACCAAAATCGACCTAAAGCAGGCATACCTCCAAATGGAGATGGATGACGCATCCAAACCACTCCTCACACTCACGACGCACAAGGGCCTGTATCAGCTCAACCGACTCGGGTTCGGTGTTGCCTCTGCCCCAGCGCTCTGGCAACAGGCTATCGACCGCATCTTGCACGGCGTCCCAAGCCAGGCCTGCCTACTGGACGACATTATTGTCACCGGCCGCAACGACGATGACCACCTTGACAATGTGGAAAGCATCCCGAGTCGTCTGTCGGACCACGGCCTGAGAGTCAACCCGGCCAAGTGCACGTTCTTTGCAGACCAAGTCGAGTACTGTGGACACATTGTCAGTCGCCACGGCTTGCGCAAGACTGATGGCAAGGTCAAGGCTATCAACGAAGCCCCAGCACCGCAGAACGTGTCCCAGCTACGGAGCTTCTTGGGCATGGTGTGCTACTACCAGCGCTTCCTCAAAGACTGCTCCACGACCCTGCATTCACTCAACAACCTGCTCCGGAAGGGTCAGTCCTGGCGCTGGACAGCTGAATGCGCGGCTGCATTCAAGGCTATCAAGGCAGCCATCGCCTCGGATCAGGTCCTCATGCACTTTGATGCCGATCTGCCCGTGCAGTTGGCAACCGACGCATCGCCATATGGCCTGGGGGCGGTGCTCTCGCACATCATGCCGGATGGTACGGAAAGGCCGATTGCCTTCGTGTCACGGTCCCTGACAGACACCGAGAAGCGGTACGCCCAGATCGATAAGGAGGCGCTCTCTATTGTCTGGGGCGTCCGCAAATTCCACACGTACCTGTTTGGCCGACCGTTCGTCCTGCTGACGGACCATGAGCCGCTGACAGCCATCTTCAGTCCTAGCAAGGGATTGCCAGCCATGACGACGGCCCGCCTACAGCGGTATGCTATCTTCCTAGCAAGCATGAATTATGAGATCAAGTACCGCAAATCAGCCGATCATGCAAACGCTGACGGGCTGTCACGCCTACCGTTGCCACACTCACCACAGGATGAGAGCCTAGACTGGGCAGACGTGTTCAACATGGCCCAGATCGACCCGCTTCCAGTCACGGCAGCTGAAATTGCGCGTCACACAAACCGTGACCCAGTTCTCGCCAAGGTCCTAACCAGTGTCAGCACCGGACGGGCCCTGTCAACAACCGACGGTGACATGCAACCATTTGTACGACGCAAAGATGAGCTGGGCCTACACCAAGGGTGTGTCATGTGGGGAATCCGTGTCGTCATTCCTTCCCCACTGCGCCACCGAGTACTGGAGGAGCTGCACAGTGGCCATCCTGGGCTGGTTCGGATGAAAGCACTAGCCCGCAGCTTTGTATGGTGGCCAGGCATCGACACAGACATCGAGCAGACCGGCAAGGCCTGCCTTGGCTGTCAGGCACACCAGGCGGCGCCACCGAAGTCACCGCTACATCCCTGGGAGTGGCCGTCCAAGCCATGGCAGCGTCTCCACATTGATTTTGCCGGGCCGTTCCAAGGGCACATGTGGCTGATTGTGGTGGACGCCCACAGTAAGTGGCCAGAAGTGCTCCCAATGAGCAGCACCACTGCCCCAGCTACCATACGCCGTCTCCGAGAAGTGTTTGCTCAACATGGCCTGCCGGACCAGATCGTGAGTGACAACGGCCCGCAGTTTACTGCCGATGAGTTCCGCCGTTTCACAGAAGCCAACGGCATAACGCACACGTTCTCAGCACCGTACCACCCAGCGACTAACGGGTTGGCTGAACGATTTGTGCGTACAATGAAGCAGGCACTCAGGTCCCATTCTGCCACAGCACCGCTTGAGTTCTTGCCTCGCTTCCTGTTGGCCTATCGCACCACACCCCATGCTACAACGAATGCCACACCAGCATCCCTGCTAATGCACCGGGAGCTACGCACTCGGCTGGCGCTGGTTCAACCCAGTGTCCAGGCATCTGTTGCTAAGAAACAGACAGCTCAGCGTAGTGCAAGATCAGCGAACCGTGAGCGCACGTTTGCTGTGGATGACACCGTCATGGTACGTGACTACCGCACCAACGCACCACACCCGTGGATTCAGGGCACAGTGCAAGCGGTACACGGCTTCCGCCACTATACAGTGGAAGTTGGCCCAGACCAGCAATGGAGGCGCCATGTTGAACAGCTCCGGTCAGCCGACTCCGCTCCGCAATCATCCGTACCGATGAACACAGCGCCTTTGCCGTCCGTGGCAGAACCGGATCACAGTTTGTGCTTTCCGACTGCTCATTCGCCAGCTAGTGTTCCGACACCACCCAGTGTCCAAGCCGCTGCTACTCCAACACCTCCGCCTGCGCAAACACCAGTAGCTGCAACTACGGCAACGCAGCAGGTCCAGTCGCCGCTGGCACAAGATACGACTGAACCCCGCCGTAACCCGCCGAGAGCCCGAGTCCTGCCGGCTCGCCTGAGAGACTGAATTGCTTCTTGCTCACACAATTGCTGTCCCGTGCTCTCAGCTCATCCGCTTCTTCTTGTGCATTAAATGTTATGCCGTATAGGAATACCTCGTAGCTCAACATGTACCATAACATTTAGGGGAGGAATGTAGTGTATGTACCAGACATGTATTCATCTAATTGCAAGTACTATTGATCCACCCTAAAACCACAACCGCTTAGGCATGAACTCTCTATAGCAATTCATTGTACTGCCACCCAACACCCAACGCATCCCGCACCCGGGATACAACTCCTATATCCTCTAGCACAATCATACCTCAACGCTTCTTATTGCTTTGCAACCGTAGAATAAACTTGTATGTAAACTCTACGTGTGAACCCACAGTCTCTTGGTTAGAGACACAACAGATAGATTAATCAATTGCAGGAGTGAATCATATGCACGGTGCAAAACCAGGAGTCCAGACACCCATCCATATCCACCCCAAGCTATGCGCTTGGATCAATTCTCAGCCATCCGGACTAAGATACTTAGGCATTGCTGGCAATCTATGCCTGCTTCCCAAAGACCAGGCAGGCAGGATCTATGTCGGAGACCTCGGCACTCACTCTTCCTCAGCAGCTCGTTGCCTAACAATCCTTCTCCAAGACTCTTGTACGACTTCTTGCGGCATGCTCTGCAAAGATTTCCACGGAAAGTATGTCACATCAGAAGGAAGAAGTACCACATCACCATGCTTATCCATTGTAATTCTTCACTCCTGCTTCTCAAGCAGCCTCTCCCAAACAATAGTACAAGTATTGGTACCTCGATGTACTGTTGTGGACATGGAAATCCGGTCGCACGTCTAGCGGCCCCAGGGCGCTGGCCATGCACGTCTAGCGGCCCCAGGGGGCTCGCCGTGCAGCCGTGGATAAGCGGTAGATCTACACACAATGCATTCGTGCGCTGCAGCGCGCTGGTAGACCTACATGGTCGCATCGGATCAATTGTGCACTGCATGCAGCGTTCTGTACGCGCTGAGGGCGCCGGCCCCGGTCAATCGACTGGATTTCCATGTCCACGACAGTAGTAGATATAAATAACTATGCAAACGGGTTTATTTTTTATTTTCCTCTACTTGAAAGCACATACATGTACATGTAGGGCCGGATTAAAGTGAGACTAGAAAAGGAAGAAAAAAGTTAACTGCGGTTCTCAACCAGCGAGAGTGCCCCGTCTCACAAGAGCGTCCCGCTTTGATTTTACAACGAGGGAAAGGAAAATTGCATGGAACAGTGCAACTGAGTTTGTATGGTGTGAGGACCCCTTACTAGGCTTAGTGCACTGTTGTCACACTTAGCATGTTTTTGTGTGGAGCTCTCATCCGCTTGAAGGCAGGGACTCCCTGCTCAAAGGTACAGATTGACTGCATAATGTGCAATGTGTGTACATTGTATGTGTCGTATGAATGCATCTATTTCCACTCACCTGTTGGTATGCAGCAACGGCACAGATAGCCCGGGAAGCCTCGCCTGTCCACCCACCAAGTGATAGGACCTCACCAGCCACCTCACGCACCTTCAGCTTGACCACCTGGCAAACATCATTGCACCAAGATATAGACTGAGTATACTGTGAGTGTGAATCCACCAAGCTTGCTGCAAAGCTGGATTACAAGTTGCTGTACCACGAAGCCATGTGACTCAACAGTGCTAACACAAACAATTATATTGCGATTCTTCTCTACTTACGGAGTGAATGATGATGTCTAGCTCCGAGGTCATTCCCTTCAGGAACCTCGCCTCCTCCTCTTGTCGTTGCAATGCTTTTAGATCCCGCTCATGCTGCCTCCTGTAAGGCAATATATGGAAAAGGGAAATCATTGGACAGTTACCACAGACAATTTTCACAATACATTCACAGTTCCTGTATTATCTGCAGTATGACAATCCGTCAGGTGATTGCTAACGCGAAGAAATTACGGGTACTTATTTCGGGCAGTACGTTAATCGGGCTGAACTTAACCTCAACACAAAAGGATAATGGGGGTATCTACTTCGGGTAGGTTCTTAACTACGGACTTTCACGGTAGTAAGAAGTTACTACCAGTAGTCGACCCCTCGACAAGCCTCCCAGCCTCTGGCCAGCTGGCCGGAGAATCATCGCTGTCAATGGTTTCTGGATAAGTGCTGTCCCGACTTTGCCAAATCTGACCTGATATGATGTCACCTCTGCTGATCTACAAAAAAATAATGAAATAAATAAATAAGTGCAATGCTAGTGCTAGCGCATGACTAGCACAATTGTATAGCTTGCACGAGTAAACACTTCGCCTTTCCCACGTTTCATTCCTCGTGATGTTTCTTTCTTCTTTAGATTGGAGTCTTGGTTGGTACTAGGTGAGCGAGCTGGCATGTCTGCTTCAAGCCCATAATGGCCATGTACAATGGGAAGACGCGTTGTGAGCGCATCGGTCGGAGGAATAAAGTGTTAGATTTGCAACGCTGTCTCCTCTCCGACCAGAACATGGACGTGGATCATAGCGAGCCGAGACATCTCCCTTCCACTGCCGGTTTTCGCTTGCTACGTGTACGACTCTGGAACTGCGGTGGAAATACCAGAGGAAGCACAATCCCTTTTGACAAAGTTGAAGAGCAGATACCCAACAATCAAATGTGAACTTTAGTTACCATACGAAGACGGTTTCTTGCCAATCCTCGACATACGATTGAAAGTACTTCCTGGCGGTGAAATCACACACAACCTCTATGGCAAAGCAGCCAAAGAAGGAATAACACTGCTCGCAGAGACTCCCACCATGCAACGGTGTTCAAGATGGCAGTCACTAACAACGAGTACAAACGAGTGCGAGACAACAGCACGCCTGATTTTGCGGAGGAGCCAGCAAGTAACCTCATCTCAGACGAGCTTGCAGGCACCGGATACTCAATGCAACACATCACCGGCGAGGTCAGAACCCAATGAAGAAATACAAGTGAACACACAAAGGGAAAACAGCTGTGTTCCGAATGCCGTGATATGTCTCAGAAAAGGTAATGGCCAAGTACGACGGTCACTCAAGAAGAACGGCATAACAGCACGCCTCATTAACCCTCGGCCATCAACCATCCCAGAACTAACAAAGAAGAACGGCATAACAGCACGCCTCATTAACCCTCGGCCATCAACCATCCCAGAACTAACAAAGAAGAACGGCATAACAGCACGCCTCATTAACCCTCGGCCATCAACCATCCCAGAACTAACAAAGAAGAAGGAAAAGCAGAGGAAGTTGAAGTTCTGAGGAACGCAGGATACATGAGTGACCAATGGCCAAGAAGAAATGCACTGGCAGCTTTGCAGTCTATGGAGCCACATGCAACCTCTATCGAAAAAGATACGTCGGCTCATCTGGCAGACAAATGCACACCCGGGCTCAGGAGCATGTGAATACTGCACAATCCAAAGACAAGAGGTCTGCGTTCGGTGTGCACTATGCGAAGGAACACCCAAACACCACCCCAAAGATCAAGTACGAAGTAGTCCAGCTCACGGAGAGGGATGATGACCTGAGGCTTTGGATCTGCGAGACCTATGCAACTTGCGACAGGAAACCAGCAATCAATCGAAGAAGTGGAGACATGGGAACGGGATTATTGCGTAGCTTGCCTAGCTTCCCTACCAATGACCAGGGGTGTAGCTGGTCCCCCTTTTAGGGGGGGGGGGGGGTGCATGGCCGCATATGTGTAGTTCATCATAGCGGTCATTAGATGCAACGTTTTTAGAATTAGAGGGGAAGGGGGCGCCATACTAATGCTACATCATGTAACCACACGCATACAATGAATAGATAGTCGAATAGACAGTCCCAACACCCTTCCTGCCATGCGCTAATGCACTTATCTATAAGCAGGGTTCTAGCCAAAGGGGGTAGGGGGGGGGGGGGGCGCTGCACCCCTACTCTGTTTGCGTGCCCCCTGTGAAAAAGTGCCCCTCCCCCCCCCCCCCTACTCATGTTCCGATTTTCGTGTTTTTCATGCAATTCAACGAAAATGCAGTCCAAAGTCACTACAGTCAGGCCTTGCATAACCGTACACTGCACTGCATCCGTTTTCCACTGCATCCGTTTTCCACAACAATATCCGGATAGGCGAGGGAACCGGATAATCGAACACACATACTGTATGTATGCAAGCCATATGCTGTTAATAGGTAGCCAACGATATTCTTCCGGATGGCGAGGGATCCGGATAACAGAGGACCGGATAACAGAGGACCGGATAACAGAGGACCGGATAACAGAGGACCGGATAACAGAGGACCGGATAACAGAGGACCGGATAACAGAGGACCGGATAACAGAGGACCGGATAACAGAGGACCGGATAACAGAGGACCGGATAACAGAGGACCGGATAACAGAGGACCGGATAACAGAGGACCGGATAAGCGAGGCCTGACTGTATTAGATGGTTCATAAAGGTGGTTCATTTGTCTGGGGCAAAGTCGGGGATTTTCCCCATACGTTGCATTTAGCGTAGCAAAACAATATTGGAAAGCGGAAAAATGGGATACGGGGTAACTGTTTCCCATGCCCGTTCCCCTATTTCCCATGCCCGTTCCCCTATTATTTATTTTGACCTGGCTATAACCCTCTACATGTACAAGAGGATGTCACACCACACCGTACCTGCGCACTTCCAGGTGGTCTCTTTCATCGAAACACCTCTCCAGCACCCTGGGCAACAGTACATCCACCACTAGGCCACGCACCATGTCGTAGTCTTGCAGCTGCCAGCCGTCGCAGGAGTGACGGCTGTAGTTCATGCGCACCCACCGACGATAGGCTTTCTCCGATCTGTGTACATGGGGCAAGTCAATATAATTACGGCAATTCGAGTGCACTATAGTACTACCGTATTTCCCCGTAAGTTAGTGCGTACCCGGTACTAACTTTCGAACTTAGCAGCCACATGAGTACTAACTTTCGGGGGTGGTACTATCTTTCGGGGAGCACTTTTTTATCGGGGTAAATGACACGCAGTGGGAAGCCTGCGCAACTCTAGTGTCCGTATCCAACAGTGCTGCCTCTTCCAAGAAGAGAAAGTACAAGGCGGCCGCAGAGGAGCTGCGAGCATCCTTCACCCCGCTGGTCTGCTCAACTGATGGTGCACTGCACACAGAGTACCGTGCGTATCAACGGCGACTTGCTATGCGCCTTGCCTCCAGGTGGGACAAGTCCTACAGCAACGTCATGTCCTGGGTGCGGATCCACCATCAGTTTGCTGTTTTCCGGGCTGTCGACCTTTGTCTCCGGGGTTCACATCGTCGTCTCGGTGGGCTGGCAATTTGCAATGGTGTCGGCCTTGGCGTTGGCCGTTAACATTCATGCGTATGGCACAACTTGTTGTTGTTGTTGTTGTGTGTGTGTGTGTGTGTGTGTGTGTGTGTGTGTGTGTGTGCGTGTTTGTTTCTTTCCTTTTCTTTTCAATCTTTTCAGCTGTCATTTGCCCTGATCGTGCCTCATGCGTGTTTCACAGCATAGTACGTTTCCACTTATTTTCTTCTTCAACACACGCTAGCTGTATTACTTTGTTCTTGCCCATACAAGAGGCTACACGGTGTAGTGTCCGTGCATATGATGTATGTACTGTAAGGTGTCTGTACATGTAGGACGGGTACGAACTTACTATCTTTCGGGGGGAACTGTCTTTCCCTCGGCAGTGGAAAGTGTATTTTTTATAGGGGGGGTACTAAGTCATTGGGGAGAACTAACTTACGGGCAATACGGTAGTAGCTGTGCAATGCCACTCGTCTGTAATACTAAAGTGGAAGCATGTGCATGACATATTTTACAATCTGGACTGTTTTTACCATCACAAATTTCCAGGTGCAGATTAGTGATAGCACTGATGATGACAATGTACCACACGTCACCCACACTTCATGGTCTTACATTTTCATGTGCTGCACTCGCTCCTTCCACAGAGGGATTTTGGCCTCAGCTCTTTCCACTGCACTCTCAATCTCTTCCTCCGTCAGCACTCTGTCCACCGTAGGCTGTTGTTCACGTTGAACCCCTGCAATGCAGAAAGCAGCACAGTGGCATAAACTACTATTTGCGGATACATTTGCTTAACCATCATACAGTTCAAATACTCACAAGGCGAATGAAAAATGGCTCAACGGCAACAGTGCTATTTGGCACAAGCAGTGACGTTGCCGGAATAGAACTCTAATGCATGAGGTCGTTGAGGAAACATATCAGGCCTAGTGGAACTACTTGCAAGTAATGAAGTTGGTCGGGCCAACAGTCCATGGCTGGAGCAGCCTTTTGGCCGCCGATGTGTCTGCTGTGCAATCCCCCTGTGTACTCACATATCAGACACAAAGCACAGCAAGCCTGCATGGCCAGGCTGCACAAAAACTGCTTCCGACGGTTCTGAGCTAAGCCAACCAGCATAGACACAGACTGAAACAGTCATGCTGGGATAGTCATGCTGGGATAGTCATGCCGGCACAGTAGATAGTCATGTTGGGATAGTCATGCTGGGATAGTCATGCCGGCACAGTAGATAGTCATGCTGGGATAGTCATGCTGGGATAGTCATGCCGGCACAGTAGATAGTCATGCTGGGATAGTCATGCTGGGATAGTCATGCCGGCGGCACAGTAGATGGTCAGTAGTTATGCCCGGACAGTCAGTGGTAAAATTTTAATAGTTAGGCTGGGACAGTAGATGGTGATGCCACCGCGACAGTAGATGGTACAGAGTCATGCTGGGATAGTAGGGGACCTACCAGTTCCGGAGTAGAAAACGGACATCTTTGCCAGCAGCTCTTCCCTTTCCTGCTTGAGCTCGGCAAGTCGCCTCTGTTTCTCCTGCTTCCATTCCTCATATCTCTAGGAAATGAGTGAAAAATCAGCAAAGCAGGCTTGGTAAGGGCAGGACTTTGAATTCAAAAGGGTTATGAACAAAAAGTGCACACCTGGCTGCACAATGAAGCTAATCTTTGTAGAGAAAGAGCCCAAGCTGTTATCAGTCTTTGGTAGTATGATTATATGCGCATGTGAAAGTAACCTGAGAAAATTGCATGCATAATCCAATTTTATGTGCAGACTGATAACTGTAGGTAGGTGTGTGTGTGTGTATTGATTACCAGGTGATAGTGTGGAATAGTGCCAGCTCGACTGGAGGACTGGAGCTGTCCAACACCTTGCCGTGCTGCACCTGGCTCCTTCCTGCACGTGGATGCAAACAGGTTGGAAATACCAAACCAACGATGACTTCCAAACACAACGTACGGTAGGAAGCCTGATCAGTCTGCAAGAAACAGTTATCATGGCCAGGGACTAGTCGCTATGGCGACCACCTGTCCTGAAGGACCACTGCAACCCAAACCAAAGGCTCTAGTCACCTGAGTCTGAACACTACAGGCCCACCGTGATGCATGCGTGCGTATGTCGGGGCGGGGAGGGGGGGAGGGGAGGGGGGGGGGCATGTCTCGGTACATTGAGCGCTCAGCTTTGATAGGGTTCACGGTGTACTTACTGGTGTATGTAAAATTATTACTTCGAAGTACTTTGTTACTTCAACGGAGAATGCAATTTACGGTACTTGCAAAACCTCCCAAATAGATGACCCAATCTTTATTCGTCACTCCACTGAGCAACTTTCTAAGGGTGACAAAACTCCACTGTAGCCACTTTCTCTTGCTCACAAAATCATGCACTACCACCCATGCAAAATGAATGGTCCAACGGCTACACTTCTTTGTAAAATAATTATAGCAGTTCAATCCAATTTTTCGGGCTAGGCCCATATTCCTTAGTCCTTCGGCAGCCCGTCAAAGACAGACATGTGCAAAACATGTCTGCACAAGGCATGAGAGAGCAATGGGAGGGGAGGGCAGGGGTTGTAATACACTCTGCCACGCCTGCCGATACCTTTTCTAGGTCGCCCACTGCAACATCACCGGTGATATCAGTATTATGGCGGAGGAGGTCTCTGGTGATCGTGTTTTCCTGTCTAGTCACGTAATGCTACCAGTAAACAATGGCTATCGTATCATTAGCATAGCAGGACTAGTCTCCAGTTTCCATAGTTACTTGCAGCATACATGTACATGTACATGTACCTTGCCAGAGCTTGGTCTATTTCGGCTTTGCGTCTCCTGACCGCGTCCAGCCGCCGCAAGAGGTCCAGTTCCTTTTGTGATTCTTGACTGGCCATCTCGGCTCAACGCCTGCAGCTGTATGGATGCCGTTCTGAAGTCTTCTAGGAGCAATCATAGGAACGGCAAGTAAAGGAAACAGAAGCGAAAATAGTAGCAACACTATTCCAAACATACATGCACTCACATGCCATCACAATGTGATGTACTCGTAGATCGTAAGAAATACCCAGGAAGATTTGGTTTGGTTTGGTTTTTATTATTTCAGTTCGTTGCCTCAACAGTACAAAGTACAAATATCAAGAGGGACGAACGAAAAGAGAAAATAAAACAGAGCAGAGGAAGATGCAACTGAAAGTAGGGTGTTCGGACGATTTTGAAAGTTGCTCCAATCTCCTCGATTTTAGTCTCATTGGAAAGAGTAGGATAAACTAGCCGGGAAATATATGAGGTTTGTCTAAATCCGACCAGACGTTCAAGAGTTATGATCGTTTGAAGTGCGCTTGTTGGCACTTTTTCTGGAACAGTTTTGATGCAGGCCAGTGGCACAAAACCGGGAAATTCAAAACCAACTAGAACAAGGTGAAAATCAATTTCGTTCAGGGTCTTTCAAATTTCCACAGATGATAGCCAATAGAGAGCTTCCATCACTTGACCAATTTTTTTGGTATTCCAATTAGCTTAATTCAAATTACGCCCATAGCAACCACCATAGCAACGCGTACAAATTAGTCGAAATAGATGCGAAAGATGTAACCCTTCACAGGCTGAAGCTAATTGGAATACGGGTACTACAAAGACACATCACCAGGAGGAGATTACAGTTATCTACCCCATGTAGATGAAGCATCCAAGAAAATAACATACGCACTCAGCCGAGACGGCACCCGCACCCGGGCATGTTGCGCCGCAGGACCGGATGCATGCAGCCAATTAACAGGTATGCTGCACCATTTCAACACGATGTAAGCTTCAGCCAGGCCAAGGCAGCAGCAGTCCTGCTAATCATCAGCTTTAGAAGGACAACTTGCTCCCAGTCATATACGGCGCGCGTGCATCACTTCGGGGCAATTGGTGTCGCACGTCACATGTAATTCATTCATACGATTCGCACAATCAACAGACAGTTCATTTATCGGATGATTGTGCAAGCGTAATTTGGATGTAAATTATAAAGTCGACAAATACACTGGTCCTACATTGCCCATGCTATGTGGATGACAATGTACTCCAGACACGGTGCATACGGCATTGCGTAGCTGCACTGCGTTAGCGCGCTGCAATTTTGCAAATCCTCTGAGTGTCAATTCTGTGCAGATTTTCAGCTGCATATTGAACGCAGTATTGGCAGGAAATCTGCTCTTGACCAATTTGTCTGCACAATGGCTTTCTCCACTCTCCAGATACAGCGACCAGAGGTTTATCTGATGTGGTAGCTCAGCGAAACTACAAATAAACAGCACTACAGCCAAGTCCATCAACTCCATGTACATGTACATGTACATGTACTCCATACATTTGGTATCCTGGCGCAAATCGATCGCTCATAGAACAAGAAGACAGCATCGTACAGCCTCCAAATTTCACACACTGCGTAGTTTTTCGACGCTGAAGACGATGGAATAGTCGCCGGCGTTGCGACCGGCCCAGAACAGGCCGAAATCCATACCCTGAAGTTGCGCAGGGCGTAACATTGCTAAAATTCGTCGTGTGGAAACGGGACTTACGGTCTCAACAGCAGAGACATCTCCTCTTTCCAACAAAGAAACAAACTCGTCCTGAGCTGCTAAAATTTTACCTTGCCAAGGCAAGAAGCACAGTGATGTACGATTGTGCCACGGACCCCGTACAAAACTGTTTCCACTCAAAATGCGCCTGGGTTCGAGGCACCGAACACCCTACTGAAAGGAAAGAAAAGGATGAACTTCACAGCAGCTCTATGCCAATGAATTCAGGCCACGGAACACAGCCATTCTCCCGCCCCTGGCCCTTGCCCCCCTTGGCCATACAGTCTGTACATTGTAAAGAGCACGTCAACACCGCCCACCACCTCACTCCTCACCTCACTCCTCACCTCACTTCTCAGGCGTTCCGCCAGGCTAAACAGATACGGGAATCATTTCGCACTGCTCGCCGCACTAGCCAATTATTTACTTACAGAGATGAGGAAGACGAAGGCAGGCGGTATAATTCCAGTAGACCCGCTAGGGCCGCGCTAGAGCACCACAAGGAGAGTTGAGCTCCGAATGACCTCCATCAGTCAGCACAAACAAAATTAATGTACGTAAGAAAAGAATAGGTTGGTTGTGAATTTTCTCACGCGTCCTCTACTGCGTATGTTCGCCGAAGGAGTGCGCTGCCTGACCGCCAAGCTCAGAATGTCCCCGCATGGAAAGCAGGTTACGGTACGCGTTGAGCAACGTTGCAGTTGAGGTACATGACGATGATGTGCCTTTGGTGACAGCCATTATCTTGTTGACGTTGCAAGCAAACAACCACGGAGTTTCCTGAAATGAATGAATATTCTGAACATTTGAATGAACGAGTCTCGCGACCTAGTTAAAAAAAAGTAATTACCGGTATAAATAAGTAGTTACATGTACTTGTTGTAAAATTATAGCTGTTCACACCTGGGAGTAGTAAAATCATTGACTGCACATGTGGGCGGCAGGTACAGCGCCAGTTCATCACTCGACCGCAGTTCATGTTATCACGGATATAGTGTGAAATTTGCAAGGCAAACCCTTTTCTCATGCCTGCATTTCGAGGTCATCTCACTTCTCAGATCGCTTGTTGAGCTCAAGCTTCTTCGGTGCCATCAAGTAAGTAATTAGTTGTGGAACTACTTCTCCGCAAAACATACAATCATGTAGGTTGCACTTCTTGGACTCGCAGTGACACATGTACGACCGGCTCTCTTCCAAGACCTTCCCTGTGATCACGCTTTCCTTCGCTCCTCAGCTCTCCATACGTATTTAGCGAGTTCAGTGCTGTTTTTTTGCACTTCTGATGGCACATGGAGGTAAGGTGGGTGATTGGCACGTAGGGAGTTGAGTAGAGCGGCTCTGAGATACCGATGTAGATCTTGTTGCTCCTGTTCTAGCAGAGTTTCTTGTCGTCTACCTGGTCTACTAGTGGCTGCTGATCACTGCTTCCATGTTTGACGTAGATTTACAGCGATTGAAGATCTTCAGGAGTTTGTGGAGGGCGTGCTGCGTAGGCCTATGGAAGTGCCTGGCGTCTTGTGACAAGGCTGCATTGGGGAATCTGCCAGCGACGTTGTGCTCACATTCTGGGAGAAAAAGGGGGGGGGGGTGAACCATTATCCTTCCGGGTAGATCTACGACTACTCTTACTCCTCTGCCCTTGGCTTGGGCCTCGGGCTGAATAGTCTTAGAAAGCTCAACATGTTTTTGTATCCAGTGACTTTCAATGACATAATTATTGTACTTTCAATGACATAATTATTGTACTTTCAATGACATAATTATGTACATGTACTTCAAGTATACACGGGTACACAGGACTGCGTGATTGCACGCCTCAACGTCGCTTGATAAAATAATTATGGTTGAAAGACGGGGATATTGTTGGTGACTTCCGGTCGATTATTGGAATGCTTGATTGCTGATACTGTGATAGAGGATTGTCATTCGGCTTTCGGAAGAGCTTGAGCTTCCCTGTATCCAGGCATAGCTACATAATTGTAAATGCATGTATCACATTTAGATCTCTCCTTCTTTCAAGTGTGTGTAGATCTCTCAGGAGTCAAGATATTATCCTGAGAGATCTAAATGTGCTACGCGCAGTTACGGGTGCCTATTACTGTATAACACGTTATTTTCGGTGTCATTTTAATTTCGGTAATTTCGGTAGAGAATTCAGGCACCTAAATTTAGATTACACCTAAAAGGCACTAGAGTATGCACTGTATGCGAAGGGTAGGCTGGTCACCTAATTCTACATTACACCTGAAACCTGGCGGGTCCCTGATACCGAAATTTAAATTCACCTAAAATTACATGATATACAGTACTATTATTTTACTAGTACCAAGACCACTGAAGACGGCAAGAGTACACGAACTTGTTTTATGTACTTTGTACTCTTTCTAGTAGTAGCAGTCAAGTAGACCAAACCACCACCCTGCGAAACGCAAACAGTCGGGATGGTTGGCAGCTAATGTTACATGTACATGTATGCTCTTGATGGTTCTCCCTGGTCTCCCAGGCCAAATCAGGGAGCCCAATGTAGGGCTCCCTAATCTCAACATTTACCTTTGGCCTTTTTGAATACGACTCCCAGGAAGCCATGAAAGCGGTTAAGCCCACTTTTCATGGTTTCCTACATCCATCCGGCTACATGGGTACAGCCTCAGGGCCAGAGAGCTCCGGTCCCATGATACACACTAGAGACAATGATTATGTGTATACAGTCAACTTCGCTAATAACGACTGCGGATAGCATGAATATGGCGCTGGAACCCAAGCTTAGAGTTGAATGTGACTCCAAGCAGCTTTAGGTGGTCCGAGTCCGGAATAATCTCGCCGGCAAAGGTGGTTGGTGGAAAGTCAGGGCGCTTTCGAGCATTGCACAAAATCAGGTGCTGGCTATTGGTGGGCTCGAACTGGATCCGCCATTGCTGGCCCCATGCGGCAAGATTGCTGAGGGTTGTCTGGATGCTGCCTTCTCCTGGAGGTTGTCGTTTGGTCTGATCAGACTGTACACGGTAGTGTCATCGGCGAAAGAGCTGAGCTTTACTCCATGCGAGAGGCATTGGTCGATATCGGCAGCAAACAATATGAAGAGTGTGGGGCCCAGGACGCTGCCTTGGGGCACTCCGGCAGTGATGGGGTACTTCTTGGAAGCGTGGCCTCCAGTTACCATGGTTACCACCTTTAGGCAGCGGTTACTCAGGTACAGTGTAGTCGCGTAGCCAAGAGAGAAGAGGTCCGCCGATGCCTACTCGCTCTGCTTTGTTGAGGAGGCCGACGTGAGAGACGCGGTCAACGCACCGGCAATATCAATTGCTACTACTGGGACACAGCCCCCCTCAGCTACAACCTGCACCCATTATTTGGCCATTCGCTCTGGAGTGCTGTGAGGAGGTCAGCTGTGCCACGGCCACCGTCACGGGCCACGTCTAAAACCAAACTGGCTGTCAGGCAGCAGGTCGTTGCGCTCCAGGCCTTGAAATTGGTGACTTGTTGGTTTATAATACACTCCATGACCTTGGATAAAACGGAGAGCAAGGACACAGGCCGGTAGTTGGATGGCCTAGATCGAGGTGGCTTCTTGTATACCGGGACAACGTGAGCGAGCTTCCATTGGGACGGTACAACACCGGCACGAAAGCTAACACGGAACAGTTTCGTGATGGGAGCAGCAAGTTCCATAGAGCACTCTTTCAATACCCGAGATGGAATGCTGTCAGGTCCGGATGCCTTGGATGGGACCAGGGAGTAGTACAATACCGGTATTGTACTACTCCCTGGATGGGACTAGCCTTGCAAGATGCCGCCGGACCTGTGTGAAGCTTTTCGGATGATAAAAATCAACAACAACAACAATGCGTCCTCGCCTTGTAACATCGGCTGTCAAAATCGAGAAACATAGCAGGGAGTCCATGACTCATGAGTCGTACCCAAACATTTTGGGTACGCCTCCGGGGGGGGGGGGGGGGAGATCCCAGAGTCCCAGTCCCTGAGGACCCGGTACCCTTTTTTGTTGTTTTTTTTTTGAGATACATATTATATATTTTTTTTAAATAATTATAGCCTCTTTTACGGGCGAACAAAACACCCGGTACCCTGGACTAGGCTGGAGTCTAGTCCCTGGACTAGGCTTGTCCACAAAATGTTTTCAATTTGAATTTTGAATTTTGGTTGGATTTTCACACTTGGACCCTCAGCAGGCTCAGGCCTCAGGTCCCTCAGTGACCCTCACGGCCTCACGGCTACAGTCCATTCATAAAAAGATGGGCTCTGGCTCTGGCGAGCTCCCGTATTTGGCGATTTTTCGTGATTTCATCGTACACAGTGCAGTGCTGCGAAATTTGAAATTTGAAAAAGGGTCCAAAAAGGGTACCTGAACTGGGGTTCGAACCGCACAATGCACGTTTGCAGGCGGGGTCAAACGGCCTGGATTTTATGGTTTTCCCAATTCAGTGCTGTTGGGGCAAAACCTGGCCGAAATTCTATTCTTGTTATGGCTTGCTTTTTGGACAAAAAAACTTCAGAAACATAATTGGAAGAGGATTCCATAGGGGATTGCAGAAAAAAATTCTAAAAGTTTGACCCATTTATGGCCAAAAGCTAGAAGTCCATCTTTTTCTGAATGGACGCTTGTCCACAAAATGTTTTCAATTCACTTTGAATTTTTTTGGAATTTTGGCCCCATCAGGATTGAATTTTGGCCGTTTTTGGAGAACGACAGTGATGTCACATCAGGAGAGTACATGTGCTGCTCAGTATTACCAAGTTTGACATGTGAAAACAGTACTTTCAAACACACACACCTTTGACCTTCGACCTTTTGACACCCATCCCCGAATTTGGAAGCACACAGACACACATGATAAGCAGTTTGTGGATTTTTTTGTTTTTTTGGAACTATTGGGTACGAGTACTGTAAAAACCATGGCAACGGATCGAATTTTTTCTGCATTTTGGGGGATTTTTTGAATTTTCTTAAAACATTTTGACCGTTTTTTTCGCTTTTTGAATTTCAATTTTGGACAACATAATTCGCATGATGTGGCCACCCTTTTAGTACCTTACTCACGGCCCCTCGGCCCTCACTAGGCCTGTCCGAAAAAGGTGTTTTAATTTGCGGAAAATGGAAATGCAAAATGCACGGTTTTCCAGCCAACATTCAAACAAGAAATCAAAGGGGAATGTAAAAAAATTTAAAAAATCAAAGCCAAACAACCTAAAACGCAGAGAAAATGCATCCGTTGCCATGGCAACCAGAATCTAAAATGGCCGCCATGCCATGGTTAATTGGTTTTCCATGTCACACTGTACATATATACATGTAGTATCCCTGCCTTGCTAGTACACATGTACATGTACATGTACCTCTAATCATGTCACATGTACACGCACTGCATGATCATAATCTTGTCACCCCTTTTGCTGACATTGCCTGACAAGCCTGCAAAGCTAATCATTTTCTCACCATTGCAAGTCACTTGTGTTACCCTTAGCTTGCAAGTTGCATACTACCTGTACTACTACTACACATGTACTACTACAGTCGTCCCTCTCTAATCCGGCACTTTATAATCCAGCACCCTCGATAAACCAGCACAATTTTCAGTAGCCAAAATGTCCTCTTCATGCACATTGCAGCAGTAAATCAGATTTGTTAATCCAGCACCCTCCCTAATCCAGCAGATTTTCGTGGCACAAATGGTGCCGGATTATAGAGGGACCACAGTACTAGAACACATCTTCGTAGTTTTACATCTACACCTGCATGTACATGTAGAACTAAACACCCACGTGTTCGCATTTGTGTGATTAGGAGGCCAGTGCAACTAAGTAAGTCTAGAGTCGCAGCCAAGAGGGACAGAAGCAAGCCGAACTACCGTATTTCCGCAAATAAAAGGCCGTCCTCGTATACAACGCCTTCCTCGTATACAAGGCCGGGGCAGGGAGCGATTGAAAAAATAAAAGACCGTCTCTGATTAGAAGACCGGGCCTACTAAATGAGTCTTTGTTCTTGTGTTAAAAATAGAAGACCGTGCTCAAACTGTGGGAAAAAATAGAAGACCGCGCTCAAACTGTGTAGAAGAAAATGGAAGAACGGGGGGTAAAAACTGTGTGGCGAGAAATAGAAGACCGGGGTCAAACTGGGTTGTAAGAATAAAAGACCGTCCTCGAATACAAGACCGTCATCGATTATAAGGCCGGGTTAGGACGAGGTTGAAAAAATAGTAGACCGGCCTACTATTTGTGGAAATACGGTAACTTGATTTGGTCGAGCTGAAACCTTGGAATTCGACCGAAAATGGTCAAAATTCAGAAAAAATGCAAAAATGCAAAATGTACCCTTTAGGGTTTTACGTCGGGCCCTAGACGACGGCTACTTTGGCCAACCGGACAACGAAGAAGTTGTGACCAAAGAGAATGATTTTATTTCTTGCGCATGCGTATGTAGAATGACGTAATACTCAGTGAGTCAGGTCGCTACAGTACTCCCCCGCCAGTGGTGAGGTCGGGAGGAGCGAAGCACGATAAACAAGAAACAAGAAAGAGAAGAGAAAGGAAAGCGCAGCATGTACATGTACAAGGCGGAACGGCAAAAATATAATAATATGATACATATGTACAGGCGAGAGCGCTGCGTGTATGAAATTTGTTTGAGACGTGGCAACAAAGGCCGAAACAAAATCAAAAATGCAGAAAGCGGAAATGAGAGAGATGCATGACAGAGGCGGTTTAAAGGGGAAGTTAAGGCAAAAATTAAAATTTCACCAGTTGTAGTCTTCGGGGTGCTGAGTCGAATGGTCTTGGTCCGAGGAAGCTGAGACGCTCCCTTCCTACTTGAATCCCAATCGAACTCGCGCACTTCCACCGAAACTGGGTGACTGCGCCCTACGAGATGGGGATTTGTATGCAAAATGTCACTAAAAGCGCCATTTCGTTCTTATAAAAGCACGGATGACCGCGATTGGCCCATATGTTGTAGTCTTTGGGACGCTGAGTCGACTGGTTTTGGTCCGAAAAGGCTGCGATGCAGCGTTCCTCCTTTATTCCCAATCGAACATGGTTGAAGAAGCGGTCACGTGGTCCTGGGTGCCCAAATCACCTGGTCACCACGCCAGCAGGTGACAACTTTCACACCAAGGTTCAACTCGGGTTCAACTCGAGTGACAGGACTGCACCCAAAAAAGGTCAAACAGGCTAGTAAGTTGTACCCTGCAGGCACGGTGACCAGCTGACTGGTGTACGCAGGAGCACGTGACCACTTCTTCAACCATGTTCGATTGGGAATAAAGGAGGAACGCCGCATCGCAGCCTTTTCGGACCAAAACCAGTCGACTCAGCGTCCCAAAGACTACAACATATGGGCCAATCGCGGTCATCCGTGCTTTTATAAGAACGAAATGGCGCTTTTAGTGACATTTTGCATACAAATCCCCATCTCGTAGGGCGCAGTCACCCAGTTTCGGTGGAAGTGCGCGAGTTCGATTGGGATTCAAGTAGGAAGGGAGCGTCTCAGCTTCCTCGGACCAAGACCATTCGACTCAGCACCCCGAAGACTACAACTGGTGAAATTTTAATTTTTGCCTTAACTTCCCCTTTAACATGTCAGAGGTGTGTTAACGTGACAGAGGTGGAGAGCATGTCAGAGGCAGAAAGAAAGAAAAGAGGAAATGTACGCGTGACAGAGGAGTGTTATCGTGTCAGAGGCGGCTGCATGTTGCAGGCTTGGCGGGATACCAGCAGGAGCGCTGCACTGGGGCGAGGCGTGCCGACTGAGGCGGGGACAGATGGAGGCGAGCGCAGCTCCATGGGGTCCGGTGCCGGGCGTGTGCCTGCGTGCGTGCACAGTTGGGCTGGTACGGATGGTGGAGGTGGCCAATTTCCAGCTTGAGGCCAGGACGAATACGGACGACTGGACAATGCCGTGGCAGGATAGCGGGGTATCCAGGTGGGCCAGGGAGGGTGGCAGGGGCCACAGCAGCTCCGAGGCGGATCCAGTGACGAGTGGTGGTGAGGCTCAAGTTTTACGTCAACAGCCGGCGATTGACGGGTTCCCGAGAGTTGAGGCGAGCAGGAAACTGCGGCGGGCCGAGCTCAGGGATGGCATGCTCAAAACTCCGAAGAGTGCAGCGTCAGGGGTCACCAATAGAGATCCTTAGCTAAAAAAACGCTAACGTAAACGCAAACCTTTCCGTACTTCGGATCGTTCAAGCTGACTTTTCCCTTAGCACAAAGTACGTTATAGTTGAGACGAAGTAGTCGTGACAACCACGGCGATATGAATTTTCGTGGAAACAGATGCGGGAAATTCAAAATTTTGAACCAGGGATTAGTTTGCTGTCGTTCCGAAAGAATACCTTGGCGAGGTCTTTTACTCTGGAATAGCAAAAGCACGGCGAACATGAGTTTTCGCTGTTCCCAGGTCCTTGGAAACCCTTTCCTAAACGCAGCACCGAAGACTGTAAGGGTTCTCCAGCTCCAGCACGTCTGGGAGAGGCCGATGAATTTCTTCCTCAGAAGTGCCGTGGAACTGGTCCTTTGTTTCCCAGATGGGATAGAGGGAGAAAGGCACGAAGCAGAGGACGCAGAAATTGTCAACTGAAAGGCAAAACTCGCCAAAAAGCTAAATGTCACAAGAGGAAGCAATCTCGACTCTCGATCTCACCTCGATCTGCACGACGTGCTTTTTATCTCCCGCCAGTTACAAAACAATGCGAGTTTTTGCATTTTTTGCAGAATTTCCATAACGAACGTCGGCCCGTTATTTTGAGCTCTGTAACGTTTTTCCGTTATCCGATAACGTCTTTTGTCACGGCTGGGAGTGAGTACCGTAAAAGTTAGCGTTATCGTACTTTTGCTAAGGATGTCTAATTTAGGGTTTTACGTCGGGCCCTAGACGACGGCTACTTTAACCGGACAACGAAGAAGTTGTGACCAAAGAGAATGATTTTATTTCTTGCGCATGCGTATGTAGAATGACGTAATACTCAGTGAGTCAGGTCGCTACACCCCAAAATGCAAAAAAATTCAGAACATTTTTCGGACAGGCCTCAGTCCCTCACCCTGACCAACTATGTATGACTCTTGTGATGACGTATTGGTGAGTCAGCATGATCTGTGCCAATCAAGGCAATCATGTCATGTATTGTTACTCATGTACCAGTCAGTGCACCACAAGTACAAAGCTATCGCATAGTCGGGAAACGAAAGAAAAAAATCAGAATTATAGAATGACCAGTGTACGTACGTGGGTGTTCTGGGCAAGTGCTTCTCCCCTTTTCACTGAATTCAGTCTTCCGTTCTGATCGTGGGCCCGTGTGACTTTTTACTCTTTACAGCCAGTCCAACAGTTGCTGAATGTAGAGGTACCTGATCCGAGCTGACACGTAGCACATCGTGCTGTTTGATTTTAGTTGTGCTGTTTGAACAAGATGCTGCGCTGGAAAATATTGGCACAACTTGTTTGTGATAAGTGAACTCAGTGAACTCAAGCTGCGATGCCGAACCTCGGGTCCTGCCCGTCCTGTCACGAGCGTTTTTCCTTCATGTCGGTCTTGAAGCGGGTGAGTGGGAATTAGACATACCGTAAAGTCGCGGATAAAAGCCGGGCTTATAAGCACATAAGCAGCTTTCTGCATCAGGCTTTAATGCAAACCAGGCTTGTATGCAAACCATGCTTATATGCACCACTGATATTTTTGCCAGGCTTGTATGCACAGGCTTTTACGCGCGACACGCGTAGATCTACCACTGACTACCGGTATGGCGGCAGTTTTACTATGCACCGAACATAGTGCATGCACTCTTGACCTACCCGATCCGCGCTTGCATAGAAGCCAGGCTTCTACGCGCGACAGGCTTATATGTATTTGACCCGTTTGATTTTCAGGCTTCTTTCCGCGATGTGCTTGTATGCAAACCCGGCTTTTATCCGCGATTTTACGGTATGCCATTGGAGTAACCAAAGGGAAAACATTGCTGAGTGTTATAATTGCAGTCACAAATGAAATGATGGATGATCCTCGTTCTTTTTGTCTCTGAACACTAACAAAATTTCAAGCCACTGTTGAATTTTTTAAATTTGCGTCACTCGTACTCGAACAAGATTGGTTGCCGCATTCTCCACAATTTAATTGTAATTGTGTAACGTTATGGATCTGTGTATTTCTAGTCATGATATTGATGACGCAGACGGAGTTGTCTGATCATCATCCTTGATGTTTATGTGCATGTGTGTGTGTGTGTGTGGTACATGGTGTGTGTGTGTGTGTGCGCACGCGCATGTACTTGTGTGTGTGTTGTATGTGTGTGTGTGTGTGTGTGTGTGTGTGTGTGTGTGTGTGTGTGTGTGTGTGTGTGTGTGTGTGTATGTGTGTGTGTGCGTCTGCGTGTGTGTGTGTGTGCGTGTGTGTGTATGTGTGGTGTGTGTGTGTGTGGTGTGTGCTTGTGTGTGTGTGTGGTGTGTGTGTGTGTTTGTGTGTGCGTCTGCGTGTGTGTGTGTGTGTGTGTGCGTCTGCGTGTGTGTGGTGTGTGTGTGTCTGCGTGTGTGTGGTGTGTGTGTGTGTGTGTGTGTGTGTGTGTGTGTGTGTGTGCGTCTGCGTGTGTCTGCGTGTGTGTCAACAGCAACGGTGCAGTGACTGCAAGGCAACATACTGCAGCAAGTGTGGTAGTGACCAGCTGAATGTTCATCGGTGCATGTCCGCTGGCTCGACGCACAGTGTGAAATGCTGTACACTATGTACGCTATATAGAGCCGGCCCGGCAACTACTAATCGAACTTACTTGCAAAGCCTGGCTGTACGCGACCTCAAGGAGTACTTAAAATTTCTGGAGGTGAGCATTTATTGCCTGCTGGTACCCAAACTTTGAAAATTCAATCCTGGCAGCTTTAAAAATAAAATTAATTTGATCCATTCAGCTCTTTAATAGTTGTGGCAAGCGAAATCCGACACTTCCCATAGGGGACAACACCACACATGGATATCAATGATGTAATGCGCTGTGCAGAAGTTGTACATTCAAGCCGTATGCATCCCAAACAACAGGTCAATAGGTCACAGCTTAGGCTGTGTTTACACGGCAACTTTGCTTGCCATAACTCTACATGTACTACATTTCCGAAGCCCCACTTTGAACATAGGCACCGTCCTATATAGTCCGTGAGCCAAGTCTCAGAATCGGCCGTTTTAGCATCGACCGTTGCACCCAGAGAGGGACAAATCGTCCTTCAGCACACCGCTTCACGATGGTATCCTGAAGCGATTTCCACTTGTTGGACAGTTCGAAACTGATCCAGGGAGGTCACAGAAGACGCCAAACATCCAACTTTGCTCACTGACAGCAGCGGCCATTTTCGCCTTCTTCGCTTGATTTTTTTTGCTTTTGTTCACGTATTCTCATTTTTTGAAGCCATGAGCAGATACCACGAGTGCACATAACGCGGAAACCAGTGCACAAAACTAGATTCGAATTTTTTGCCGCTGAGAATTATGAATCGGGATCATGCATGCAAACTGCATGCAGCAAAGTAACTACTGTTTGTAGTTACAATGCAATCGTTCAGAACTGACTTCCAAGAATGTCCTAAATATCTCTCGACATATTTGTTCACCACTTCCTAGGCCAATAGGCGTAGTAGACTGTAGTGAGTAACCTTCTGGATAACTACCGATATAAGATGTCACATACATACATACATGCATGCATGCATGCATGCATGCGCGCGCACCCACACCCACACGCGTGCGCGCGCACCCACATGAAGCAGCTGAAGAATCCGACTATGCAGTCTCCCAGGCACGCGCACACACACGAACCAGCTGCCAAATCCAACTATACAGTCTCCCAGGCATGGACGCTCGCACACACACACACACACATGAACCAGCTGCCGAATCCACACAAACACGCGCGTGCGCGCACACACACACACATGAACCAGCTGCCGAATCAGACTATGCAGTCTCCCAGGCACGCGCGCACAAACACGCTTATGCGCGCGCGTGTGCGCACACACACACATGAACCAGCTGCCGAATGCGACTATGCAGTCTCCCAGGCACGCGCGCGCGCGCTCGCGCGCGCGTGCGCGCACACGCACACACACATGAACCAGCTGCCGAATCCGACTATGTCAGTCTGCCATGACTGAGAAACCAGCAAAGACATACGGTGCATTGGCTGCTGCCAGACTGGTCTGCTACAGGTTTGCGACGCTCTTGAGTACACTTGTGGCGTGGCAGACCGCTCTTCGAAAAGGAAATGTTACAAATACTACACTGAATCCGATCACGGGAGGCCGGCTGTGGTGGTGAAGCAATTCTGAATGCTGTGCGCCACTCTCCTCGCTGCTGTGCAGTGTCGAACCAATGTCCTTCAAGATGTAAGTGATGGATGTCTCTTCGGACAACATCACACCAATGCTGTCGGGTCTCACACACACACACACACACACACACACACACACACACACACACGGCGCGCACCTTGTCGACAATTGCGGAATCTAAAACCCACCAACGACCTGAAACACGGATTGCACTGGCCGCAGTGGCTGTGGCAACACCGTGCCCCAACACCAGTGGTAGCCTGGGGTGGTGTCACCAACAAAGGAAAATGCCTAGCACGCACATTCACGTGCGCGCGCACACATGCACGCTCGCACACACATGCACGCTCGCACACACACATGCACGTGCGCACACACGCATGCACGCGCACGCGCGCGCACACACACATGCACGCGCACACACACAAACACACGCACACATGCACGCTAGCACACATGCACGCGCGCGCACACACACACACACGCACACCCAGAAATGCGCACACACACACGTGCACACACACACACGTGCGCACACACACACGTGCGCACACACACATACACAGCTAATAGTATAGTATGTTGCCCGCAAAGCAGCCAGGTGCTCTGGCTTGGACCTCCAGCAGCGCTGGTTTCGCCCTCGCTACTTGTCATCTTGCCCTCTCCAGTGCTGCCTGCAACAAAACATTCCCTTCCGGAAACTCTGGGTGGACCAGTTCTCGGTGTTGTGTTTACACCGTGCTCTGCTTTCATAATTACCGGTATGGCATTCGTTGTTCGTATCAACCACTAAGCTCCTGGTAGGTGGCCCCTTACTGGCCTTAGGATGTGGCTCTGGGTTCACTACTACATGCACATCACTGTCAGCAAGTATAGACAAAGCAAAATCAGAGGCACTGGTCTTCTCCAGGTTTGCAATTGCTATCACATGGGTGCAATTGGTGTAGCACTTTCCATGATACCAGCCACACCATTTACTCCTCCCTGAGCCCTTGTGCTGGCAGAGAAAAGCCCAGATATGGTCGTCCTTCTCTCGAGCAGCGCTGACGATGCGACACCAACTTGTAGTCTCGATATTACTCACTGCAGGCTTCTCGTTTTTACTAAATTGGGCGCTGTGACACAGACACAAAATGCCAGCAATAGTACTCCGCTGGGCTGTCATTTGCCACTTCGTTGCCCTCAGCTGCCTCATCCAGCACCTCGCTGCCACTAGAAACGTCTTCCTCTTCTTCCATTGTTGTCAAAACAACATCAATGTACACGAAAGGAATAAACTTCAATAAAGTGATCACAATATCCCAAGACGATATTGTCGTCAACGTCGTCATCTTCTAAAAAATAAATTATTTTTCCTCACTCCACGCTAACTCGTGTTTTGCGCTTGCTCATACGATGCACACCTCACCACTCGCGTAAAAATATTTGTTCTCACGGTGGAATTTGGTCGAGAAAAGAAGCCCTCGCGAAGGTCTCTGGATCGGTTCTGGAACGTCCAACAAGCGAAAACGTATCCTTTGTGATGTCCTTGACCAACACTGTAAGCGGCGATTTGTCCCTCCGAGAGTGCAACGGCACTTGTGATTTTGAGTTTTGGCTCACGGACTAATAATAAGCCTGCGGTTGGGAGGTGGCTGAAATGTTTAGCCCCTGCCAGAAAATATCGGCCGAGGGGCTACGTTGTATCTTGGCACATGCTTATCACTGGTACGATGGTTAACATGCTGCAATAAACCGTTCTGAGATGCTGAACCGATTTCAACAGCAATCAGCAGAAGAGGTTGAGACTATCTGGCGTCTATGGAGACAAGTTGAGACCGATTGGTGAGGTAATCTGCCAGCCACCGCCACGTTAACATGATCAGGCGCGTACGCAGGGTCACCTCTAGGGGGGTTTCCAACCGAATCGCAAACAATGACTCGTTTTTAAACCCTTTCTAAAGAGCCCAAGGAAATTTTCAAAATTATGCATTTTTTCGTGTTCTTTTGATCATAACTTCAGTTCTTCTCACTCAATCTTCATTATCTTGGGCTTCCTGGAAGTGGAAAGGTACCAGGGAGAGAATGAGGTCGACCATGATAGCCAGGATACAGTATAGTCATGTACATATCCAGCGCTATGGCTTTATAGCGGTAGAGTGCAGCGACGGTGCGAAAAAATGCCCCAAAGGCCCAAACGCGTCCTGCTCCAGCGATTTCGTTTTTCTTGATCCCAGAGTTTCGATTTTTTTGGCTGTGTTCTCTTGAAAATATCACAAGTGAAGCCCCTGCAAAATTGAGCAAGTCAACGCGACGAAAAGTCTCAAATTCTGGATTCTCCAGTCGCACTGCGCGCTTTTGAAATTGCGAGATCGCAGCTCAACTTATGAATGATTTATCTCAAGAGACATTGCTTGCAGCGCGTCGAAAGTTGTTTCAACCGACAGCTGAGAGTTTTCTATTCGACCTGGATATTTGGATCGTTGGATTTGAGCGAGATTTGACTGAGTTGCGATCTGTTGAAGTTTTGCATTCTTGCCTGATCGATCGTGCGCCCTACTAAAATGCCCAAAAACGTTGCTCGTTTGGAACATTTGGGGGTTTCCGGGCAACGGGAAACCCCCCCCCCCCCTGCGTACGCGCCTGATGATCTGACTTAGAGAGAAGTCCTCTGTGCTACGCGGTATTGAATGCTTTGGTCAAGTCCAAGAAGCACATTCCAACGTACTAGTAATTACGGTTATTATCTCGCACGTAGACTATTTACAGTATGGTATTGTGCGTGCCTTGAGCTTCATAACACAGGTGTTACAGCTACGGCCGCAAAACTTCACGTCATGAGGCTTGAATGCGGGCGTCATGTGCGCTTTATGATACTCAGCACTGGCTGTCTGTGCGTGTGAATTGTTGTCTCTGCTGACACATCCAACCTGCTGTGCATGCATGTAGATCACTGACTCGCTGACGGATGACATGTGCGTGTTTTTCACTTTGTGTTTGAGTGTGCGCAAGTGTGCAGCACTGCTATCCTGAGTTGTGTTTCTCCGAGTACCCACAGTGGCTCGTGCACTGGAGCATCTTTTTTCCACACTTAATATGATGATGTTGCTGTACTATGTAGATACCAACAGAACACTGTATTGCCAAAACTGACCTTGTCGACCTTATCACGAGCGCCCCGGATGTGAAGAAAGGTTGTCGTCCCAAGCAGGCCAATGGTGGCACGGAGCGGCCGTCGTCACAAGCATCTTCAACATCAAGCCATGCCTCTAGTTCTCGGTCGCAATCGACCGCGAAGCCACCGGAGGCGTACACCCGTGCAGAGGCGTCGTCCACGCGAACGCAGCGATCTTCTTCCCAGACGACGCAGCAGCAAAGTTCAACACGAACACAGCCATCTAGCACTGGAGCTCGGCCGTCCACAACAAGAGCCACTCCGTCGACTAGGACTGCTGCTGGGTATACTAGCAACTGGTCATCTACGTCTGCGGGTGATGGATCAACGGCACATCGACCGCCGGCAGCAGCGGCAGAGACTGGGCCATCCCGGAGTAGTGGCAACTCTGGCTCGAGGAGACGTCAGCCATCAAACAGGACGTCGGCGGATGCCACCGAGCAACGGTCTACTTCTCAGCGCAGCTCGCCGCCTGGAGAAGGTAGACGGCGGAGTGGTGTAGACGATTCTCCGCCACTGCCAGCGTGGGGGGAAGCAACTCGCAGAGAGTCGGATACGTCCAGGAGTGGCACGCATTCAACTCCATCTCTGTCCACAACCTCATCATCAACATCATCTTTGCGAGGCGGCGGACACCACCGTGCTGGCTATGCTGATGTGCACTCAAGTGCCAATGCCCCTCCGCAGCCTCCGGGCTTTTCGGGTACTGCTGCGGCAGATAGTCGGGCTAGTCGGGGTGGCGGAGTAGTCTTCACACCTCCACCTGAACCGCGGGACAAGTCCATGCGAAATCAGGTGAGTTTATATCTCGATTAGATGCAATGTGCGGTAGCGACTTTCCGTGTGATTAGTACTCAAGGCGGTGGGTGGGTGGCACTGGGAGAGGCGGGGCAGCTTCGGAACAGCCCTTTTCTTCTTCTATGAGATGGTCCTAAAATTGGCCATTTTTCACTTTGATTTCCGGGAGAAAAAACCCCTGCGTCGAATCCTGGACTCGACCCCGTGACCCTTTTCTGTTGCCCCAAAAAGCCCCAAGGAAGTGGCTCTAGCCCTATCACCACACCCCTTCTGTAACTAGTTATCCCAATATGTTCTGACTGGGTGTTATGCGCGCCACATGCGACTACTGGGCCAACACATCGCCAGTGTTCGTTTTCCGTATCTTTCTCTTGCCGTTGAGGAGCTGCATGTGACGCCTTGATTCTCAAGGTTGGTGCTGTCCCTACGCACGTGGAAAAAGTCTGACTGACCGTTATGCAGAGCATGACAGTTATGGTTTATGTACTAAGTATTACACTCCATCATAAAAGCTGCTCTGTATCCTTTTCCTCTCTTTCTGTCTAAGTTATCTCTGGCTCTCCTTTGTTGTGCGGTGTGATTTCTGCTACGTAGCGAGGGTATCGAGTAGATCTGTGCACCATACATGCTGACGATATCGCCCTCTTGACAGTCATGCAGTTGAAGGAAACGCTGGCTGTGAACTTTGTTGACTTCCGTGGCTGCGTTGAGAAGAGGGAGCTGGTGGAGCTTGTGATGCGCCTATGGCTTGAGAAGCACCCTCTGCCAGGTAGGCCCAGTTGCCCTTTCATTGCTTTATCTGTTTTCTCTCCCATGTCTACGCGCATGTGTACACACACACACACACACACACACACACACACACCTCAGACCTCAGACATGCCCATCGCGGAAGCGATGATAGCGAACGGCTATGTTAGACATAGCAACACACACACACACACCATCACACACACACACACACACACACACACACACACACACACACACACACACACACACACACACACACACAATACACACATGCGTACACACACGCACCACACACACACACACACACACACACACACACACACGTACACACACACGTGCATGTGCGTGCATACTTACATTTTTTTCTCCTGCCCTGCTTTCAAATTCCCCTCAATTAATATTTGTTTGACTACATGTACATGTATGTGCAGGCCAAGCGACGGACGACAGTGAAACAGGCACCTTTATGAAAAGTGAGTCGTGCCTCTACTTGTATGTGTGTAGTGCTGTACATGACATTGTATTGAGTTGTAGCGGTCTGGTATGTTGTCACTTACTCATTGTCTGTATAATGGTACCAACAAGGCACTTGTTTTCATGAGTGACTCTAGTATACCAGTACTGGCAGTAGCCATAGGAGCATATTGCTTCTCCTCTCTCATCCATCAATTTATCGGATAACAGTCATAACACCCTCTGTTTTTGTCTTGCCCTCTCTCTCAGGTTCTTCTCCTGTTGATGGTAGTGACAGTGAATGTCGCATCTGCATGGATGAGAGCATCAACTGTGTCCTTCTCGAATGTGGCCACATGTGTTGCTGCGTCAAGTGCGGTCGCCAGCTCGCCGAGTGTCCCATATGCCGGCGCTATGTTTCCCGTGTAGTGCATGTGTTCAAAACGTAGCATCTCTGCTGCTGCATTCTTATCCCAGGCCCTTGAATCCACTCTGAGTTGTTCAGTACCTTTTGGATTGGTTCCTATTTTTATTTTTCTTCCCGGGTTTGCCAACTTCATTTCTTTTATCTTTCTTCCATGGATAGCTACAGGTAGTCTACAGGTAGTGTACTTTAACCCAACGTGCTAAACGTGCTAGCATCGTTGCTCCCTGCTTTGGATTAGCGTTTTATTTCTTTGTCGTTCCTTTCCAAAATGGCACTCCGGGCCATACGTTCAGTTCTTGTTTGTGTTTTCCGTCGTTGAAAAGACCTCTCTGGTCCGTTTCCCCCTTCTAGAGAGGCATGTTTGTATATTGAATTAATACTCTACTTAGTCCTAACCCAGCTTTTTGAACGCGTGCGATGCCTGAATATTGGGCTGTTGTTATTCATGTATTTATATCCTTGACTCCAGTTTAACGCTCGCTCTTTGTGTCGGTTTGAACCCATGCGCGCTCTTATTTTCACAGTTATTCACAGTCCCACCGGCCACCGTGCTATTCTCCACCCATAGCTGTACGTGTCTAATAACATTCGACATGCTTGCCAGATACGGCTCTTTTTTTTAAATACTCAATGAAATCCTTCTCTTCAAGTTCCTTTCTTCCCGCAGTTATCAGGGATGTTCACTCAACTCAAGCGTCTCTTATCCGTGCACCTTCATCTCGGCTTGCCGTACTAAAAAGATCCTTGGATTTCAGTTTTTTTCCCCAACCACGTACTCTTGCCAATGCTAACTAGTGTACATCTTTTCAATACTGATTGCATTCTTTTTATGCTCTACACGTGAAATGTGTGCAGAAATAAAACATGAAAACCCCCGTCCCAATGTTACGTTACTGTCCGTCCCAATGTTACGTTACTGTCCGTACTGTCCGTCCCAATGTTACGTTACTGTCCGTCCCAATGTTACGTTACTGTCCGTCCCAATGTTACGTTACTGTCCGTACTGTCCCGAGATATACGCACACTGCCTGGATAGGACCGTTTAACTGTCTGTCCGTGGTACATGTATATAAAATATTATTATAGGTTTGGGGAGATTTCTCAATGCCATAGTGCTTCTCTTTCCTTCTCACCCGTACCCAGACATATTCTATTTGCAAGCGATGAAGTGTTCATTTGGGCCGGGTTTGGGGTTCTCTTTGGGTTACGCAATATCGAGTCATATCATGAGAAAACGAATGTACATAATTATTATCATAAAGTTATATTGAAAATGATAATACCATGTAGAATACGTCATGTGGAATAGCAACAGTAATCAGTATGTTACAGGAGCACTCAGATAGGATGAAGTTGATTAGCAGAAATGGCTGACCATGTGAAATGGCTTTTTTTATAGGAGGGGGGGGGGGTGATAAACAAATCACAATCTGTCTAATACGATAATAAGGAAATTTATAATAGCAAACATCATTATATTACAGGCACATCGTACTTCAAACGTGCACTAAACCAAGAGCTGTATCAACCAGGTCAAGACCAAATCATGAGTTTGGTAAGCACATTCAGCTGCATGTGAAGAAGAGAGATCGATGAGAAACATCCGCCGCGATCACCGGTGTGGTGAGAGATCGATTGAGCAGCATTGCAACATGATCAAACGGGGAAATTTCTAGTTGAATGAAACTGCCTACACAACCAGCACAGGATAATGACTGCGCAAGACCTACCTAAGTCACACTCCATGGTTAGAGGCTGAGTGTCTAGTGTCTACTACTAAAACTGCACAATACGTTGTTTTGCCAGTACCATGACTGCTAGCAGGGGGACAGCGAAAAGGGAAACGTAACTTAGGAGAGAGAAAGAGAGAGAGAGAGAGAGAGCCCAGACCTGCTGAGCAGGAGTGAGCAGCATCAACAGCTATATCTAGAATGTACACACCTCTGTCAGTGGGTGGAGACAAAATAATTACAATAATGTGTCGCCTTTCCGCATAAGTGTGGTGACGCAGTTGTGCGTCCTGATCTTAGGCTTTCAAAGAGAAAGCCTGTTGATATGCCACAGCCCAGATGCATTGAAGAGCTTTCATCACAGATAGTGGTGCACTAGAAGAGTACAATTCTTTGCTCAATTGGTTTGCGACAAATCGGACACTCCTTCATGCGATCGCCGCACATCTGACAAGTTCCATGACCACACAAGAAGATGAGATTCTTTCTCCGATCCATGCACACGGGACATTGGGTCTGAATCGACACAGGACATACACAGGGTATACACAGCAGCATGATAGACATCACAACAGAATCAGCCTACACATAGACACACACATGTCAATGATGTTCTTGCACTATCATGCGATTCATACACTGTGTCATGATTGTCAAATCACCAGACCAGAGTCACATAGACGTATTGGAGTGTAAAAAGTGCATGGGAAGACTATGGAGATTTGTTGATGTTTCGCAAAGCCCCAGACTACATCTATCCAGCAGTCCGAAGAGTAGTGGTGAGCATTCACTTGTGGCTGACGGTGTTCATCCCCCTATCTTTTCGAAGTCATATTGTTCCGTTTGGTGATATAAAATGCCTACAAACAAACAGTACAAAGTGCTAACTTGTTACGTTGCCTTGTCTAAAGCACTTTAATCTAATTTCTGCACATGTCAGATACCGGGCACATAGCAGCTGATGACCTATACCTGATCGCGGATATCCTCCAACTGTTGCTGCAGCATTGCAACATCGCCTGTCTCCGTCGAACCCTTTGCGTTTGTTGCTCCCGCATTGTTGGCTGTGCGTGGCAAGAAACAGATCGAAACAAGGGATATGGTCAAGGCAACGGTGTCTCCATTGGCCACGCACGCACGCGTATACTTGGCTGTTGATTGCTACCACCATCACCATCACCACCACCATCACCACCACCATCACCACCACCACCACCATTATCACCACCACCACAATCAGTCACCAGAGCGACCCACACCAACTTACCTATCTCTGCAACTAGTTCTGTGAGTGGAACTCTGTCCACTACAGGTTCACGGCACAACAAACACTTCTTAACCACAGCAGCACATCCTGTAGCAACAGCAACACAAAAAAAACAGTCAATAAGAATGTCATTGCAGGCAACAATGCATGAACACATGCTCTACCATGTAAAGCCAGCACCATACATGTACGATAACGATGACATAATATTTCTATTGTGTGATGGCTGCCTCGTGACGTGGCGCTACAACGAACCTGAACATCCTCTGCTGAGTCTGCTACGTCCTAAGCTCTGTACTGTGACACCGAGCACTCTCTGCAGCTCGGGCATCAACAGATTAGGACGTCTACTCGTACCTAGTACAGTACTACAATGGAATCTCCACCGGGCATGTGTGCATGGATTTCAGCAGTAAACTTCTTTTGACAGTCGTTGGAATGTTCTGCGAGACCAGCTTAGCGCAGCCTGGCAGCCTGTTTTGCTGTTTTGCTGTTTTGCTGTTTTGCTTTCTTCCCGCACTAGAAGTAAATTAGAACTTTAGTTGTCGGGTTGTCGGAGAATGTAGCAGGAGAATGTAGCAGGCCACAACGTCTTGTATTACTGTAGTGCCGGTGTGTGACTCACGTTCACATGCCATGACATGACAGCAAGGCTTGAACAGTATGGTTGCTTCAGTGTCTGAGCAAACCAAACACTCTTCTTCAATCTGCAGGCATAGGATATACATTATACAACATACACAGCATTACGGATAATAACTAAAAGCAAATACAATAGAGATGTTTTCCTCAAGAGCTATTGGACTGAAATATCCGTCAAATGCACCAATATTTAAATAAAGGGGAGCCAGTAGCCCGCAACGGGAAGTACCGTCCAAAAGTATAAAACATTACCAGAGCATCAGCAAGGAACTTACCGCTGAGCGCTCCACCACTGCCTCTTTGCAGATCAAGCACTTCTTGCAGCGCTCGCCACACTCACTGCACGTGGCCACGTGACCGCACGGAGCAAACGCACAGTTGCGCATCTGATCAGCACAGATCATGCATTCCATCATGCGTGGGTCGTTTGCCGGTGGCGGTAGCGGATCCTCCTCTTCCACAACAGGACTGCAGCAACGGCAACGATAGACACCAGAACGTGAGGCACACAGGGAGATTGATGCCGCAACAAAAAGTGCGGCCCACAGCCATAATAACAATGTGCTTCGACGGAATGCTAGTTGAATCAGTGCAAACTTAGACTGCCGGCACTGCATACACGCCCATGGTTACTCGGAACGGCAATTAATTGTATCATCGCAAACCAGTTGGCAGGAATATGGGCTGCGCACTTTGCAGCAATAGGTTACAGCAACCCGCACCTTAGTTAGGCACCGGGCAACAACTAGATTACATGTGGCAATCATTGTAATCCCACAAGCCATGACACATCCTGATGACAGGGTTGGTAGCCGGTCAACAACTCCAATAATAATGCATGGGCCACATGACCCAAGGGCAGGGGCAACAGCATATTGCCCGAATAGTGAATTGTAACCTCAGTTTCTGTAGAGAGCAGGACACCTGATGACTGCAAATGCAAAGCTATTCATCGTTAAGACTATTCAGCTGCTCAACGCAGCACTTTTTTACCTTGCTTTTGGCTTGTAGGATTTCATCAGTGCCTTCTTCAGAACCGGGTCCGGGCACAGGTCCAGTGCGGACTGGCCTTTGTTGTTCTTCACCTCCGGATTGACGCCGTTAGCCGAGAGGAAGAGTGCTATGGAAGCACTTTGCTGCTTGTCACCGACACCAGCAACAACCTGAGAGTCAAGCCGATGCGGGTGCAGCAGGCAACACAACGGTCAGGTCAGGAATGTCAAAACAGCAAAATCAAGAGTTGAGATGAACCTGCTCAGCACTTAGCCAGCATCTACATACCACCTGTATAGCCAGCTGCAGGAGAACAACTATCACCGTCGAAGAACATTGAATAGGCTTATCGTTACCAGAAAACGTTCCGAATCACCTACCATGCTGACGTCAGTATTGGCCTGCAGCTGTTTCAGCTGTTGCATCGTGTGATGGCGCACGGCCTCGTGAAGAACCGTATCGCCTTCCTTGTCGCAGATGTCCACCCGTGCATCGGCCGCAATCAGCAGCTGCACACAACAGGTCCAGTGCATATACATTGTACATCGTATGCAAGTCAAACACAGTACCAGTGCATATACATTGTACATGGTATGCAAGTCAAACACAGTACCAGCCGAACCACAACAAAAGCCCATTCCGGACAGTAGTTGCATTTCAGGCAAGTTTACACAAGAGAGATTCATACACATTGCCTATGCAGTTCAACACACACCAGCAACCTTCACGAGGCCATCATCGAATTGCACACCTCAGGCTTTGCCAGACGAGGCCGGTGAGCAGAGAAAGTAGACGAAATCTTACCTTGATAATGTGCATGTGTTGTCTCTCCACTGCCAGGTGAAGTGGTGTTTGCAGGTTGATGTTTTGCACATCCTTTTGCGCCTTGCCCTGCACGGTCAATGTATAAATACATGAGAATATATCAGTGCAGTGCAGCGCTGTTTCATCATTTTTCTATACCTCTGAACAAAACAAGACCGGATCATCCAACAAGATTATTCACACCAGTAACAGCAGTACTCCCTCTAGACATTACACGGGAAAAGTCAGAAGGTGGAACTGGGACAGCAGCAGCGTCCCCACCACCATCATCACCAGCACCAAACCATTCTAGCACATACTTGCTCCACCAGTAATTCAGCGACTTCTGTGTGATTGTTGAGTGATGCCAGATGCAAGGCAGTGTAGCCGTCATCTTTCTTCTCGTTCACCAGCCACAGGCGGTTGGAAATCTTTCCCAGGATCAGGCGCATAGCACTGTTGAATACAGGAAACATTCAAGACACAGGACACAGGGTGTTAGATAGAAGCGTCAACCGCAGCATCAACTACAGCAGCGGCAGCAGCCTCGGGGACGGCAGTAGCAGCGGCGGCAGCAGGAGTGATGGCACAATATGCGGAGCATTCCATCTCAGGTCTTGCTCTGCAACCGTACACCAAGCACACTGCATTGCCTCACATCACCAGCACCAGCACACATCCAAACCACTCGCTCGCACTAGCTCACCTTGCATTGCCCCGCAGCGCTGTGTGGTGCAAACAATTGAATCCATTCTTGTTGGTCAAGGTAACGTCGGCTCCAGCTTCGAGCAAAATCTGTACAAGTCCTTCCCTTCGACGAGTGATGGCTTCATGCAGCGGAGTTTCACCATCAACGTCCTGGATCAAAACAAGGGTAGAAGAATCAAACAAAAATGGCCAGGTGAGCGCAAGAATGGGCCATGGGCCATGCTGGAACTTCCAAATGAGGCACAATACGATGTGGTGCAAGCTTTAAATCATAAGCAGCAATTCACAATGGAAAGGAGTCGGGATACTACACAATCGTATGCTGAAAGGATGTGGATATATATACTACACAATCATATGCTGAAATGGGATGTGGAAATATTGTGTAACATAGCATGTCGTCTGATAGGCCACAGACACATATTGATACATATCTAGGTCAGGACTGAGTACGTTCCTACGTTCAGTAGCTTGCCGCACTAAAACATGCCGCTCAGTGACATGCACCCGAGACTTGCCTGTAAGCTGCAGTGACAGTTCATCTTGAGCATGGCCTTCACTGCTAACGTGTTGCCCTTGGACACAGCCAGGTGTACGGAAGACTGTTTCCGCTTGTTCCTGGCGCTCAGGTCGGCACCGGCCTCAGCCAGTACTTCGATGATCTCCGGGTAGTCGCCAGCGGCAGCCAAATGGATAGGACGATTTCCATCGGCATCCTGGGAAATGAGTGCACAGAGGACAATAGTACCAACCAGCAGCTTGCATCATCATTCATTAATAATGTTTTAAGATGATAGCAAGTAAGCAACCAACAGAATCTAACGAAGTCTCAGATAAATTCAAAAACGATGTAAAATGCTATGGTGATATGCCAGGATCATCAGGGAAGCTCGAGAAGCCAGTCATGACACACAGCACGTAGGTGCTTCAGCTGTACATGGTGTAGTGGACGTAAGACAGTGCTACTATGCAGTGCCATGTTACAACTTACCTCATTGTCAGTGGCAGCAAGCTTGAAGAGCAGGTATTTGACCACCTCAAGATGGCCGTGCTGACAGGCTGCGTGCAGTGCAGTGTAGCCGGACACGGCATCGTCGACTGACACAGCAGTGGACGCGTTGAACAGCTCCTCTATGGTAGCCAGATCACCGATGACTGCAGCCTTCACCAGGCGTTCAGTGGTGTTATGGCCAACCTGTGCTTGAAGTTCAAACACCTGCTGCAAGATTTCCGACACTTGATCTGTACAGAGCCAGCAACGCAAAAACAAAAATGATTCGCCTAGAGCAACAGCAGCACCTATTTAGCCTTCTGCAAGAGGATAATGTAAATCTCAGACAGAAACACACCAACCTTACTGTGAGAAATAGACCCCTGCCACATCCGCTTACCAGACAGTGCAGTGGGTGGAGAGACTTCAATCAACTTACGGTCTTGGCCTTGGCTATTTCCGACTTCATTCAGTGCTAGTCGAGTTACACACATTGGGTTTAGCGTCCATCCCGACCCAGCAACCTCCACCTAATCATAAGTACACGCAAACGACATTGAAGATCAAATGTTCAACAACTCAACCAAGGCCATATACTAGTAACAGGATGAAGGTGCCAGTAGGTATTGCATGTTCTCCACGAGAAACATAGCTGCTGCCTGAACAAAAATACCACTTTATCAAATATAGGGTTCTCAATCTGTCCACGTTGGTGTGTGACCTGAAATGACTACAGCAATTTGGCAATACAGCAACGTTCTCAATCTTAATTAGACTCCTTGATGGAGAAGCACAAGTATTTTGTGAGCTTGGCAGACATCTACATGATACCCCTGGGCATTGCACCTGATCGCAATTTGAAATTTGCTACTGTGCATGCACTAGAAACGAACGACTACAGCACCAGCTCCAGCTTACTCAAACTACAACATGATGACCAAATGTAAACATACCTGCAGATCACCATTAGGATATTTGGTGCTCACTCGACCAATCTTGCCTAGAATCTGATACAAGCACACAACAAGCAGACGCAACACGTTATTAACATTACGAACTCTATACACATCTTGAGAGAAAATTGTTGTAGACGGTTATCACCAGCTATGGTGAACATGTGGTGGCCGTGGCGAGTAGAGGGTTCTAAATTCATTCCGGACTGCACACTCGTACATGCATGAACACCTTGTGGCCTTGTGATGTCCCATCGCCCGAGGCGATGATAGGCTTAATGAGCCAGGCAGAAATTCCGATGACGGTTGAGGTCACCACACGCGCACGCACGCGCACACACACACACTTACACACACACACGTCTGTGTGTGCACAAACGTCCACACTGGCTCACACCAGCTTATCTTGCGCGCATTGTCATAGAGACATGAGGGGATGCCAGCAGCTCACTTACCTGCTTCATAGAATCTGCCCATTCACCATGACCGCGCTGCATCTGACGCACTTGCTCTTCCTGCGCTGCTACCTGCACCATGTCACCAACATTAACTGCAGGCCTTGCTGGGGTCGTCTCACCCGCAGGACCTGTGGATGTGCTTGCCGGAGGCGCGGCAGAGACGGGAACAGCCGCAGGCTGGGGTTGCAGCGGTGGAGGCAGCTGCGCTAGGGGAACGGCGGGACTAGGCGGCGGTGGGCCAGCATTGGATGACGACACTGGTGGAGTACCACCACCCGTTACTACACTGCTCATAACCGATCCAACTGTGGTCGGCGGAGCTCCTCGGTCACGCCTGATCGCATCAACACAGGCAATGCACACCAAAGTATACTTTTTAGAAAGAAGCCGCATGGTCCTGATGATTGGTTTCATGTGGCTTTTAACTTGACGGGATGATTGATTAGTCACCAAAACTCAAGGATGCGCTATTTTTTATATTTTTAAAAATATGGTGACGTATATCACAGAACTACAGCAGCCTGACGTGAAAGACAGATGACGTGGCATACTCGTGTACCAGTATGTTAAGCTCTGGGTTTGACAACACGAGTGCAACGTTTCACCAACCGACCTTGCAATGATTCCCCGAAGCAAGTAAGAAGCTGCATATACAACTAAGTTTGAGTTGATTCCTACTTGAAAGCTGACACTTACAGTTGAGCAACCAATTGCTTACCGACCGTGAATTGGGTACACAATAATAACACAGATAACGGTGACCTAAAATCCATGCTCACCCATCTCTGTGCGACTGCCGTGCAGGACTACGCCTGACGTCCGGAGCGGACGCTTGCTGCGGTAAAGGCGGACGCTGCGGAGCTCCCGTTCCCGCGGGCAAACCATCTATCGTGGTAGCCGAGACCAACGCCTGAGCAGAAGCCTGACGCAGAATGGGCGCTTGTGACGTAGCTGCTGCCTGTTGTGTAGTGCTGGCGGTGGTACTGGTTGTGGCACTACTCGGCCTGGTGTTGGCCAAAGCACTGCCACTGCTGGTTGGTGTTGCCATCACTGCGCCTCTCGTTCCAGCTCTGCGACGCGGAACGTCCGCCGAACCCACGCTTATCGGCGTGGTAGCGGGCGTGCCTGGAGTACCAGGTGTACCTGTCGTGTCCTGCTGCGTTAGCAGTGCCGTGGCGGGGATCCCGGTAGAACGGCGTTCCTGAGAGCGTGATGCCACCTTCACCAATAGGTTTGCCTGCACTGTCCACCTACACACAGATTGTATAATCATAAAGGTGCACACAAAAAGCATGACAGAGAGGGGGGAATGAGGAACAGAACAGCACACAAAAAGTATGACAGAGAGGGGGGAATGAGGAACAGAACAGCGTACAGTACAGCAAGCATGCACAATAGAAGATGACAGCATTTGAGCAAATCTTCCGATTGCAAATGTTGGATGAACCACTTAGTACCTCAAACCTCCCGGGTAGGTGACAACAGCTTTTCCTTCATTCAGCGCCTGAAACGTTCCTACTACACCAACCACCTGTAGCCAAAGGAGAGCATAGATAGAAACTAGTTAGAAACTACTGGTCATTCAGCAGATAAGCAGTACACATTCATGCAGCACATGCACACAATAGTGGCATCATTTCATCTACATGTCCCAGAGCACAAGCCGAGTCCCTAGTATACATTCTACAGGGAACAAAGAAATGATACTGAATGATGGTATGCATTACACAGACCGACTAATGGTTTCAATATGCCACATGCAGCACACACGCTCCATCTAGCTGCAAACAGTTCCGTCACACCTTGCAAGTCCATCTCCTCTTAGCATCACCATCAGTTCACGCCTGACACGTAGTCTAGCTAGATAGAAGATGTGATGTTGGCCGTGTGTTGACCGCCATTTGAAAGACCATACGCACTACTCGGTATGCACTGTAGGCAATCACATTCTACAGGCACTGAAGGGTTGTGTTGACTATCCTATCTGGGCTCAATTTATAAATTGATACTGAGTACGCCCTCATTGAAGATGATTCTGGATTCAGTACATGCGATTATAAATTGTAGATCTCACCTGCTCAATGCCAGCCATGGACGGATTGTCCTGCAGTTGCTGGGCATGTTCTTGGTCTATCGACAGGCGCACCAGGTCACCCTGGATCAAGTCTACCGTCGGCCCCGCTGGCTCAGACCGCTGACCTGCAGGATACACACCCACACACACACCCATGCAAAACACACACACGAGCACACGTACACACATGCAACACATACACACGCACGCACGCACACACACACACACACATGCATGCGAAGCTTGCCACCGTCAATTCAAGGAAGATTATGCTGAAGTGCTCACCATCCCCACAGCAAAAGTTGACAACATACAGTGGTTTCAAAAGTGGGCGAATGTTCTCCGAGAACGGGGGTGAATTATGCAAACAAAAAGAGCCAGATAAAGACCGTGACGAGGATCTACAATACTGAGGAATGAATCCATTCAATTGATGTGCACGATGCTGTTGAAGAATTCTAAGGGCTAACGTATGTAAGGGTCACATTCATTTTTAAAGCCATTCCATTCCATACCCTTCACTTTATCTCTATGCGCATGTGTGTGTGAGCCTCCCCCCCCCCTTGAATTCACCCCATGCACGTGTGTGTGTGTGTGTGTGTGTGTGTGTGTGTGTGTGTGTGTGTGTGTGTGTGTGTGTGTGTACACACCTACAAGCATGCGCACATGAAATCATGAATGCACACATATCTATCAGAATGCAAGGAAAACAAGCTGAGCAATGCCATCAAAAGTGAAAACGATTCAGAGTACATTCTACGGTTAGCAAAATCTGATATTTAAAAATGGGCTCCTTCAAACTTTCTTGCTGACGTTTCTTTCCTGCAGCCACGGGGCACGTGAAATATGGTCTAAACACACCAAGTTGTGGTGCATCATCAGATGTAACAGTCAAGATACCACTGAGCATGGACACATACCTAGAGCAGGTAGGTGATCTCGATACACCATGCCTCCCTTGCCTTCTTGAATAACTTTCACATCAACCTGAATACGGGGTACACAGCAACAACAGAAAAAATTATAAAATAGTATAGTCCCTGGTTCGAGTCTTAGTTGTGAGTGCAAAATTATATAAAAATTATATATTGCCGGTGTCATCAAACACATGCATGGAATGATGGATGAGCCGCTACTGTTGTAGCAGCTGACGGATTCCAACTCCCAAGTATACTCATCAAAGGCATAATATTGAAGGGAAGACCAGGACAACCATTGGGCTCCACTGTTTGTCTGTGATGGTGCGTCTGATTCGTATCAAACCAGTGTAAAATGTTGTAAAGTGTTGGGTGATCATACAATTCCACAAGCACGTACATGTGTGATACTATGGTATTTTTACAAACTGTAGTCACAAGAAAGGGATTCCCCAACTTTATATCACTGTAGAACGGGTAATTTTAGCGACGTAAAAACCCTAGCGAATTTAGCGATCTACTCATTTTCGCTAAAGTTTCAAGTCGCTAATCCATCAAGACATTAGTAGTGCACTGGTGATCCATGGGTAAAATCGCTAAAATAAAACGTCGCTAACCGGTTGACAATGGGAAAAACGCTAAAATTCATAGTCGCTAAAATTACCCGTTCTACAGTATTACAATCTACCCTCTAAATTTTCCAAATCTTTGTTCCTAAAGAAAAATTCCCCCAACTTTCCGGGGCATTTCCCAAAAAGCCCCCCCCCCCCCCCAAATGCATACATCAACCAACTTCAAAACTTCTTCCGATGCCTCTGCACATATACATGTACAAGCAATCGCTAAACACCCACGAGCTACCCCAGGATACTTCAAGACTATCCTAGTTGGAATCTGTGTACATCATGGTCAAAGACAAAGAGCTATTTACAATCATCGGACTCCCTCCAACTTACCATGCAGTGATTACATTCGCACATGCTTGGTAGTACCACTGCATGTTTTAGAAAGGGTTTGATCACACTCCCTTCCCCAAAGTTCCACAATGAAAAATTGCACAGAGGTTTGCATACAGAGCCAGACATGAGCTAGACATGATGCACGTGGAGCCGCCGGGTGGCAGTCACGGTAGCAGTAACTGACCATGCCTTGGAAGCCCAGCCTGTAGAGATTCTTAGTGCTGCTGGCCCACTGGACTTGCACAGCACTGCGCGGCCGCGCTGGGCTCCAGTCCTGGATCTCGTAAATCTTGCCCACGCGCCCAGGACCACCTGCACACAAACCACCCATATTCATGTACACGGAAGAACATGCCATAAATGGCCATATTGAATTGCTGGCTAGGACCACCCATTTCTAACAAGGTGGCGGCTCTGCAGATAGATGGGACTAACCACGGCCAAGTTGCCTCCGATAAGTTACAGTTTAAACTTTAAACTCAGGGTGTTCAGCACTAAGGAGCAATACGAGTCACGGTCAAAAGTAAGGCGCGATCTTCCAAATGTGTTATGTCACACCATGAAGAGAAAGAGAAAGAAAGAAAGAGAGAGAGAGAAAGAGGCAGAGAGCAACAGGACTGGTATTTTGCGAGGCACTAGAATATATATGCTAGATCTCCGCTCTTGTCGGGTCGCACATTGCCATCATCATGAGCCTACTGTTTTCCAGTAAAATTCGGCATCAGGGTCACCAGCGAGAATGTGGCCTCATCGAAATATTTTTTTATGAATGATTGCATTGGCTCGCTATAGTGGACATTGACATCATCATCATCATCATCATCATCATCATCATCATCATCATCATCATCATCATCATCATCATCATCATCATCATCATCATCATCATCATCATCACAACCATCATCATTCTAATACAGAGAGGTATTATTCCCTTACCATCCTGGTTCTCCCATTCCCAGTCTGTTCCACGCACAACCTTGGCTCCTGGAAAGAAACCTTTGAGCTGCATCTTTTTGCTTTTGGAGCGCTTCTCCAAAGGCTCCGTCCTGTACAACAACAAGAGATCGTCACATGCAAGCACAGACAACGAATACGAAATCAAGCATTGTTTGGATATAGGAACATTGGGAACAGGATTGTTGTACAGGATTTGTCATTTTCGTTAAAATTCAACTCCGTTATCTTTGCACAGAAAACACAGGGCCATATTACTGGGATTTCAGGTGGTCCGGCCAAGTGGGATACTTGGCCGGAAAGAGCATTATTGACAAAAACGCGTTTCGCGAGAATTGGGCCGGTCGACTTTGTTCGAAATAAGGTCCAGCAATGGCCGGACCAAGTATTTCAATAATCATTGAACCATAGGCGTGGAACATTCAAACATATCTTTAACCAGGCCTAACCAAAGAGAAGTATTGTGGATACAGTGTACTGGTGCTGGGACTCCACAACGCTATCTATAAAATAATTATGTATGTACGGGTACACATCACTAACTCCAGACCTTGTCGGAGTGTAGGCAATACTACGAACGTGAGAAAGGAAGAATGTCGTGCACACCTCTGATAACAGGACTACTCTATCTGATAAATAATACATGAGAAGTGGATTGTATTTGCACACTAACTTTGTCAGCATATCTCTGGCGCTACAACACTGCCCCCACTGCGTTTTATAGTCATGTTCCGGTGAGTACCACCTAATACCCACCTCTCCATTCTTGCTTCAGAAGCACACCCGTCTGCCTACTTCCTAGCAATTATATCTAGGTAATTGAATGACACTGTTAGCAGGGGGCAAGCTGTGGGCAAAAATATTAACACAATAATGGAATATATCCGGTGCAAGATTATACTGGTTGATGTCACGCACGAGTTTTACAATTATTTCATGCAATGGTGTCGATGACAGTATGGGTAGAAATGATTTTGTGTTGCATTCGCTGCGCACTCGCCATGTGGCTTACCGTTCGCCCCCTGGCAAGGTCTGTCGCAGAAAGCGATGTTTGAGGTTGTGCTTGTCTCCATGATAGCACCACGAGCACAAGTCCACGTCCTGGCAAGCAGTGCAAGTGAACCGCTGGCCGCAGATCGGACTCAGCGAGCAGCCTTCACAAGTCGTACCCTCGTGAGGCTGGCCTGCAGCAAGCAAGCAGTCAACAGTCAACACACAGCGGCGTCTTCTAAACGCGACGACGCTGAAAGTCTACACAACAATAATACGCCACTACTATGTAGCACCACTCACGTTGTGACTAGTGGTCATACTGCAGAAAACACAAAACTCAGCAACAACAAAGCGGTATTAGGCACCGTTACGCTAACATGAAAGGCAATGTGCTGTAGAAACGAACTGCTTGCTTTCCTTCTGTGAGCCACATCGACCTGAAGTACATTGTAGTCAAAGACGAGTCCCGCTTGTCTATGAACGCTTGAACGCTAGTAAACTAACACTACAGACTACACACCCCTCCTCGGGAGGAACTGTTCTTTCACTTCGAAGCACGCGACCGTTGCGCTTCGGAGTTCCTGCAAGTCAGAGCTCCCCCGACGCACGGCTAGCAAGCGGGCCACAACAGAGCGGCAGCAGCAGCAAGCGATAAGCCACACACCAGCAGCATCAGCACGTACCAGCAGGACTACTGTCCCATACACGCAGGTCAAATGCGCCAGCGCATCTGTAGTTGGCCGATGTGCCGTTATCCCAAATGACAACCACATCTCGCGTCCCTTCGAACGCGCGCACCGTTCCGCAGTGACCCTCGCCTCCATCCTGATTTTTCCATTTCCAATCAGGACCGCGTATGACGCGTGCTCCGATCAAGCCTTGCATTGACACTGAATGACCTCCGCCAAACGAGATTGCTTGGCAAATCACTTTCCTCAGAAGCGCTGGAAGTGGCAACTGCGACAGCAAACAAACTTTCGCACCACCGACCTCAGGAAAACGTGAGAACGAGGCAGGTCTGCAAGACCAAGATGACCCAGGCACATGTACTAGGTCGAGGTACCTCTCAGGTCATTCCGGGATCATCGCACCCTTCTCTTCCAACGCTCTTGAGGGCGGCTGCAAGCAGTGCTAGCAAACGAAAAGAAACACACGACCTAACACGATCTGAAGGAAGTATTCCGCTACGCTGCGGCCTGCAAAGATGGGCAGCCGACACGACATTCGTGTCGAGAATTTTGCACCTTTTTGCAGCTCCGTGTCCAGCATGCATGCACGCGTGCTAACTGACACTACACACCATGCCAGGCAGTACAGTGACCAGTGACCTGGTGACAGTTTCTACAGCTTTATACCAGGTCCATGGTATACTGTTGTTAGTAGAACTGCGTGTAGACCGTAGACTAGACTAGTGTACTGTGCTGTAGCTAGCTAGCTACACTCCGAGTGGGCAGATCTACATAAACCGCACGGACGGTGCAGTACATGCCAGTCCTGCAGTACTCAGCCAGTACTAGGCAGTAGTGCCATGGTGCAGAGCTGCTCAATGAAATCCGATCAGGTGAGGCAAGTGAACGTTAGTACCACCAGGTCAGGCTACACTACAGTGCTGCCAAAGAAATCCGACCCACGAGTCCAAAGCAGCACATCAGGATTGAAAAATCCATCTCAGGCGTCAGGGCCATAACCACTGAAACCAGGGCCACAGCCACAGTTACAGCCTCACTGGCCCTCAGTCATACTCATAGTCATACTCATACTCATAGTGATAGTCATCATTCATGGTCATAGTCATACAATGATACACTGCATAGTACAGGGCCTTTTTCATCGCGAAAAACAGCCATGACTGCACCGTGCACGCGTGATGTACTACAACGACACAAAAACTACACAAGACTCAAGAGAGAGCTACAATAACATTTTCGCTCTGTTGTTGCGGAAGGGACAAGCCCTTCGCTACTAATGCACGTAAGTGGCGTAACAAGACCTACATGACTAGTATTAGTAAGTAGCTGAGTAGCTGAGTAGAAGACTGTCCACGATCAGCCTGCCAACCATCCCGATTTGACTGTACTGGGACCGTCCCGATATTGAGGGTGGTGTACTAGTCATGTTCATAGTACCTATATATAATTATGTATCACTATTGTCATTGTCCCGATCTCAGGTTTGCAAATGCGGCACTTGGCACTACTACTCGTAGTACTAGTATTAAATCATAAAATGGCAGGTATGATCTGATGATGCCGGATCTAGCTACAACTAACTACTGCAACTAACTAAATAATTTACTTTAGTCTTTAGTCTATACACAATACAGTACTACTAGTACTAGAGTACTAGGAGAAGATCGCGCGTGTGTGGAACTGACTGTGGATGTCACTGGATGATGTGAGGCTTGACCAGGCTTTCACGACTCCCTCGTCTAGACTACCTGGACTACAGTCTACAGTGAAGCAGTGAACATGGTGAAGTAATACAACATGACTGTCAGTGTCAATCATGTAGTAAGTGATCTACCGTCCTCCAACAGTCCAAGCAAACTCCATGATTATAAAATCAGTCCTACGAATACCGGTATTACTGTACGGTCCTCCGCTATCTACTGTGACTACATGCACACCACAACGACTTTCTAGCACCTCCTTCACTCGGTCACGTCACCTGGTCACACCGGAAGCCTTCAAGGGAGCGACATGTCCGTGTGTGGGCTCGTGCCAGTACATGACTGTAGAGCGTAGTGGACCTTCAGAGCACGGCGAGCGGAAGGCTGTGAGTGTTAGGCGGGTGCGGACCTGGTCACAGCTAACACAAGTAAGCGGGTCTTTCAGTCATTGCATGTCACACTGGCGTATACCATGGTATACATGTACATAGTCATTTGGTTGAAAACATGTTGCTTGGTTGGGGCACTGTTTTCAACACAGACTGTCACCAGTGGTCACTGTCTCAGCACGGGAGTCCTCCGCCTTGTAGCATGCAACCAAAAATTGTCTTGTATCTGTGCCTGTGGGATGCTTGGGATGGGAGCAAGGCAATTTTGTTGCATGGACGATGCTCCATACAGGTGATAACTGACATAATTATGTACACTGTACTTGGCATGATAATAGCATAAGGTGAATGGCACATCACCCATTTACAAGACATTGTACATCAGTACAGTATCCGCCAGGTAAAGCTCTGGCATCCAATGATGTCTATGCCGGTGAAATATATACCCACGGCTACACATTGCAGATCCGCGCACTGGGTAGGTGAAATGATCACCTTTCCGTTCCCGCAGCTGGGATGCCACCACCCCATGATCAGACCCTGTCCACAGATGAAGCGCCTAAAATAAATGGTGCCGGAGGATAGAATGTAGATCAGGGAGTCGTCAAATACCGGTATTTGACGACTCCCTGATGTAGATCAGAGGCCATGAACCACGCAGAGGCCCAAATCAGGGAGTAGTATCTTGGTATTTTAACACTCCCTGGCCGAAATCCAATTTTCTGTGTCCATACTACTCTTCTAAAGGCAGCATTTGCGACTGGGTCGCAAGCCGGTTGCAAAATCCAGCCGTTTGGTCCTGGTAGCTCCTGCTACGGTGTGTATGTAAAAAAAAAGAAGAAGTGTAGGTGCATGTATAATAATTATGCACGTCTATGTTATTACAACATGCATGTCAAAAGGCCTGCGACTAGAGTGGCCAATCAATGTGAAGAGAAATGTAGGAAGGTCACTACCCGGTACCCAGAACCATCCATGGCGGTGAAAAAAGAGAGAAATGCCGGAAGATAGAATTTGATGTCATTGCCTTCCCTGTGTGAGAGATTGGCTGTCGTCGTGTGAGTATGTTATTATTCTTATTATTGTGAGTATGTTTACGCCAGGGAGTCGTCAAATACCGGGAGTGGAAACGAGATGCGCGAGCGTGATCCATGCTCGCCTCGCGCTGGAGCACGCCGATTTTTTTCAAATAATCTTTTTTGTGCCACATTCACCAATTCCGCGGGATTTTCAAAATGTCAAAATTTATTTTGGTTCTTCCTGCAAGCGGAGCAGTTTAGACGTCTCGACCATACATAAGCCTTCTCGTCAGATTTCCGCTTCCCTTTTGTAGTATTATCACTCTTCGTCGTGGATTCGTCGGCAGTGCATGGTCATGCTGGACAGGGAGATATCGGTAGCCATTTTACGGCTGATGTTTTAGGAACTTGGGCGAGAGGTGAGTAAAAACCAAGCTTTATCGAGTGAATACTTCTATCACTGAATAGCTTTGTTTTGGTTTGTTACACATGCATGCTGCATGTACAGAGCATTCGATTTATCAACCTGCAGTCAAGTACAGACCCAGGGAAGCTTCTCTTTTACTTGCCCAATGATCGTGCATAAAATTTTATGTGAAACTCGTAAAATGAAATGCAATGGTAGATTTAAGAAACTATGTGATGGTCAGGAATCAGGATACACATGGCATTCTCTACCTGGATGAATACTTGTGACAATTTTAATATAGAAATACTGCGCTGTTTTCCGTGTGCGTTTTGTCCAGACCTGGAGACCACATCAGCTGTGTTTTCAAGTTTAATTTGCGGTACAGTAGTGGCAAGAAAGCCGTCCATCATGCCAGCATCATCCGCAGGAGCTCCCCAGCCCACCGCCATAGTCAACTGCACTGCAGAGACACCTAAAATATACCATGGTGGTTGGTGTTTTGTTGCGGTGAGAAGAGAACTGGAAGCTAGCAGAAAGCCTGAGTTAACTAGCCTCAAGCCGGTGTTGGCGACTTTCGGCCATGAAATTCTGGCCAACATGTCTCCGAATCTACCAAACTTTGAAAAGATAATTGAATCTAAGACACATGAGCATCCACCGTGTGTGTGCATGCACAGTGTGGGCATGTCAGTATGTGTGTGTGTGTGTGTGTGTGTGCTGCCAAAGATGGCTCTCTCGTCGTGCCGATTGAATAGGGTCCCTAATCTCTTGGCAGACTACCGACTTTCTGCCGTCGCTTCCATGTTGTCGGTCCCGCAAGGGGACAGGTGACCGTAATGGCAGTGTTTACCAGGACCAGGTGTGTGTGTGTGTGTGTGTGCATGCATGCATTCCAGTGTGTGTGTATGTGTGTGAATGTGCGTGCATGCGCAGTTCGTGCATGCCGTGTGTGTGCATATGCAGTTTGTGCATGCCAATGAGTGTGTGCGCACCCGTATATTGGTGCGTGCATGTACGCATGCCTAACTGCTGACACCCAAAGTTGGCAAAGAGAAGCGAGACAGAAAGAGAGAGGGATTTAGAACAGTTTAATTCGGTGTGCATTGTCAATTCTGCGATACTCGCCACAATCGGCCAAATCTGTAATTGGATTCTCAGTGTTGGTGGTGCATATACATGTCATGCTTCCTCTTGACGTGAGACATACTGAAAGCGGTGATGTTCTCTTACACTGAAGAAGAAAATAAGAGAAATTCCTTGACTTTATAATAATGTGGTCGTCATTAAAAAACAATAATGTTTTAGAAACAAAGGGTCCCTCAAAAAGTCAGTGGCATATCATCTTACACCGAGAAAATTCACAGGTAGCACCTATATGGAAAGGACAATGGTTACGAGAAGTTTTTTCGTGGGTCGAACCAAGTGGCTTTGATTACTGAGGCTGAGCTATTTTCCTCGATAAATTACATCAAAAGTCACGTTACTATCCGCGCGTGAATCGGGCCTCCAGTCATACATCGCAACACTGCGATAACGCCTACCGATAAATTAGGTGTCCTCCTACTAGTAAACGAGCAGACCACTGCAAATATCTCTGTATACACGTTCTGATGGACGCTTTCTCCCAAAAAATACTCAAGGCTACTCTAAATTGCATTTGACGACGCTGAGGTACTCAAGGCACTGCAAAAATTTTGCGCGAGGCGAGCATGGATAATCAAGATTAACGGCGTTTCCGGTCCCGGTATTTGACGACTCCCTGGTTTACGCATGCGAGCACTTCCGGAGCTGGCATGCCCACACTGTTTTTGATTGCTTCTGCCGAATTGAAGTTTGCGAAGGACGAAGATAAAACTACTTCAAGTATACTAGTAGACTGTTCACAACATCATCTTTTTAAAGTGCTGATCGCTCGAGTCCATTGCCATTGGTGAGAAAGAGAGGCCGAGTTTGGGAAAGTTTTGTCACTAATCTAGGGGCGTTGGAACTGGATGAGGCAGGTGGCCAAAGCGGCACCTGCCACACCCAATTCCGACGCAGTCACTTTAGATTTTGTGATTTTGAAGCAATAAAATAATTATGGGCTATTGGACTATTTGGGCCCAAATTTCCAAACATTTTCCCGAGTCCCCCCCCCCCCCCCCCACACACACACACACACATACACCTCTTCATGGCCTCACCAATGTGGAATACTTTTCAAAGCCCCTGTGATCACATGCATCCCAGACAATTGTACTGCATTGTACAATACTGTATGATGTGTGCGAAACACACAGCAACGTTACCTTACCAGTTTAGCCTGCTTTCTGTGTATGTGTTCACTGTTATTGTGTAATGACTAATGTGGCCGATCCGCCGATGTACACTAACAATACCAGGGGTAGCTGGAGAAGTGAGGCGGAGCTGGCATACAGTGTACTTTACTATTTTAGTGTGCTGTTCTGTTTGTTTCATCTGCACTTGGTGACCACACCGGGGCAAAATGTATCTCCAGACAGCCACATCTACCAGTTCACGCCAGTTCACGTGTCCGCGTGCACATGTCAGTATACTCCTCATCTTGTCATATCTGGCGGCCCACCCAGTCCAATTATCCGACAAGCATATTAATATGTCATGGCACGGTGCATGCAAAGGTTCATGTTGTCAGTGGCCGTCTGCAAGGGACACATGCACACTGTGACAGTAGCCATGAGCACAGGTCATGCAGTTGTTGCGGGTAGCATGCACTGCTTGCTTGTGTTGCATGGGAGCAGGGTAAGATAAGTTAGATAAGGTTGACAGATCTACCCACTGGTTCACATGGTAGCAAGACAGGACTACAAAGACACAATGACATTATAATAAATACTATTAATTGTATCCTCTGGGTGAGCGCATGCCCTCGGCCATTGTCTCCACGCATTTATGCACCCCCAGTGACACTAGCCCTGTGATTCATCAGAAACAGTATTTAGATGCACGAGGACATGTATACAAATGTAGATTGTGATTCCAGCCCACGTAGACTTGCACTATGAGTATACGAGTATACATTGAGGAATTCATGTTGTTGTTGTGGTTGTTTTCTTTTTTTTGAAATCTTTATTCTCACGATGGCCGGTGGCCAATAAGAGATTTTCTGAATTCTTTATTCTCACGCTGGCACCATCGCTAATCAATAAGAGGTGTTGTTGTTGTTGAACATCGAAAGACACCTAGCACAGAGTGATAACACTTGAATCCGTGTCAGGACTCGACATCTGTTAGTGTTAATGTCATCGGAGACCATTGGGCTACTGGCAGGAGTAATAACAAAAGGGATACGCGCTAAAGAAGACAAGCTTCTTGTAATAGGAGACAGCAACAATGTACAATATACGGCACAGAATGTACAGGCAGAGGTCCAGGGGGGACAACTTAAGGGTGGGGAATAGCAGCAAGTGCCGACAGCAGTCCAAACCAGCCACTGAATATCAGCTGACTTTGAACACTGCCTGCCACATGGATAAAACATGTCCAGAAAGCAATAAATAGAATGGTCATCTAAAAAACATTCTCCAACGGCGTTGCAAGAGGAAGCGGATTTGCCAGGAGAAAAAAGGATTTTGTACAGATGGATGATTTACATGTATATAGGGTGCTCCAAAATTCAAAGCTCAGATTTAATCTGTGAGTGGCTGGGATAAGCAACATGAGCGGTGCAAAAGGAAAAAAGGGGGGTAAAATAGCGCAAGCAGCACCAGTAAATTCAGCAGAAGCAACTATAGTTCTAATATGTACACTTTTGATACAACCCCGCAGGTCACTGGGTCACTTGCAAGCATGTGTGAGATAGCTGCAAGCGATATGTCACAATGTGTGCAAAGTACACGCTGCATTGTTAGCAGCGGGAGCACTGGACTAAGGCCAGTGAGTGCAGCTGCAGTACATTGCGCACGGTTCTGAACCTCTACTCAAGTATACGTGTACTGTGCACTGTGACCACGTAGCAGTGTCGGTACCATCATCAGCATCGCCTCCATCCTTGATAACGTCGTGATCTGAATATTCTGAACTCAGATTTGATGCAGGATGTGAGACATGGTCATCTGTATGAAGATCAACTGCTGGACGAACAGCTTCTCCAAATGACTGTTGCTTAGGTCCTGCAGGAGTTCAGCGGAACACTCCGTGACCCTGTGAGGAGGACGGGGGGATACAGAAAGAAACACACATGAGATCAACATGCAAAGGGAGGTGGGGTGACAGGAATACCTTTTGTTTGCTAGAAAGGTTTGGAATTCAGTTACATGTTGAAGGAAATTGCACCATGCAACACGCATCCGTACAATATTGACATCTAAATCCCCAAAGAACTTCATACTCACAAAAACCCAGCAGAATCCTAAAACTGGTCTGTCACCAACCTTCCCTCCGTGCCTAGCAAACAGAAGAGCTTAAGCTTTAGGCCCTCGCTAGGCACAACCCGTGATCATTTTGTCACGTGGTATGTGCGAACACTGCCGGCCTGCACTCATGCTCGCAGGAGGGGGGGGGGCACACATGAGTGCTTTAAAGGGCACTGGATCCTGGCTATGTCAGGTATACTACGTCACTTTGTGACCTCACACCTTAAAATCGGAACCGTCTATGACAATTAGTGTTGAAACGAGCGTATCTATAACAAATGAGCGATCAGTTCCACTAACGAGCAAGCTATCAAGCGAGCTAACGAGTTTCATTGATGTGGCAAATATGATTTTTTGAACATATTTTTTTCAGCTGGTTCAAATTATCACTGCAAATTATCACCGCCGGCATTTGCATGGTTTGGGGTTGCTGCTGCTTCACTTCGGACTGCTGTTTGGTGTTGAGATGTCTTTTCAGCGCCGTCGTTGAGTAGCCTTTGTAAGAATAGACCGTTTTGCACAGGTTGCAAGTAGGCATGTTCTTCGCTGCATCGCGGGAGAAAACTTCCAAACAACTGAGCGTAACTTTCACTCGAATGGAGAGGTGACCGAAGCATATCCTGCGAGAGGTCAGCAGATGCGGAAAAAGACATCAGTAGAGTCCACCAAGGCTGCAACGACAACTGAAACAACTCAAGTGTCGTGCAGGCATACAGTCACTGTAACAGCGAGTGATTTTCACTTTGCGCGGGACTGGACTCTCAATCGACCAGGGAGTCGTAAAATATTTTACGACTCCCCGGTCGACATGTACTGCCATGTGTACGGAGTACGGCGCACGGTGTTTGTTAGTGCAAACGAGCTGGCCCCACAAACGAGCCTAGTTTCTGGCGAGCGAGCTAACGAGTACCCGGTGAGATTGTTTCAACACTAATGACAATGATTGCACGCTAGTGATTTCAAACTGAAAAAGTCTTGTCTACTTCAAGTACTAGTATGCGTTAGTGCTGAAACGATTATATCGATTACTCGTTACTTACTCGATAAGAAATAGATCGAACGGTTATTTCGATGTTATCGGCTAAACGAGTAGAATGGTACTTACGCTCGGTACAGGATCCCCCCCCCCCCTTTTGGGGGTCGCACAAAGCGTGTATGCATCGAAAGTGTTGCGAGTACGACACGAATATGTACATGATTGTACACTTGCAACATCGATGTACGTGTAAAGACTATAGCGATCTAAGAAACATCGACGTGGTCACCGTTACGGCGCCGTCTTTTGAGCTGACTACTTTTCTTACATACAGCATGCAGGACGGGCAGGCTCAGTATGTGTCTACACTAGCTAGCTGCAGGGGCTGGAGTTCCCTCCACGTGCGAGTAGTCTTGAGCTAGCCTAAAGACAGTAAAGTGGTCTTCAGTTTCATGTTTTCCGTTCTGTCGACAGTTCCCGAACCAGTTTGCTCGACGACGAGCTAGGCCTGGCGTCCGGGCCTATTTTGAGCATAGACAGGAAAAACAACTACAGTGCTGGCAACTGAAATCCTACCCCCTGGGCGGCGCGGCACGCCGCCCAGGGGGTAGGATTTCAGTTGCCAGCACTGTAGTTACTTGTTGGTGCGCCTCAAGTCAGCTCATCCGTCGAAATCCGCCGATCTGCACCCCTGGCCGGCTTCTCTGACTTCATCGTCGGAGTCAGCGAAGTCCCACGCGAAGGGCACCATCAGCTCTTGGGTTGCAACCAGTGAGTTGCCTCTGTCTTGTCTGTATTCGTCTGGTCAGTCCGAACAGCTGACGGACTTGTTGCGGGATCATCGGATCTATGCGCCCGCTTTCCGTCGGTGGCGATGTTGGACTCGTAATTTTTTTGACATTCACAGAATGTACATGTACTGATGTAGTTACAATAATACTCGTTTAGCCAATAAGCCGATCGTTATGGTATCAGCTAAGCCACTAAGGAAAACAACGTAATCGTTTCAGCACTAGTATGCGTTTCTCAGATTTCTATGGTTTGAGCAAAATTACGATACATGCACATGGTTTACATTATCCGTATTGCACAGCATGTAAGAATACCAGTTAGCATCCTAGTGCAAGTTCACACGGTGCACTGTACTTCAAGTGGTAGTGCGGTGTGAAGTGCTAGCGCGGTATAGAGTGGTGTAGTGCAATGTGACGCGGCGCAGTGAAATGTGGTGTGGTGTAGTCACGAGCTGTCTGTCCAAGCAACCTTGCCACCATTCCAAAGCAGGACACCACAGCATAATGTATACAAAGGCAATCGTGTCCCATGTAAATGTATACAAATGTTTTGGTCCAAAGCAGGACTGTCCTGCTCAAAGCTGGACGGTCGGACAGCCTGCACGAGCAGTAAGCGAATGTCACAGCAGACACTTTGTATTGGACTTACTTGGGTGTGACCTCCTCCAGCTCAGTTATGGCATCAGCGAATAGAGGATGGTCCTCATCGTCTTCTTCAGTCAATGTCTCCAGAAGGGATTCTAGATGCCCAATAAGTGGGCGCCCCTGTCCAAAGATCACAATGACGACAAGTCGACAACACAACCACCGCCACCGCCGCCAACAACAGCAATCATGAATATCAATATTTCAAACAACAAAACAACAAAACAAAAAACAACCACAACCACAACCACAACAACCACCACCACCACCACCACCACCACCACCACCACCACCACCACCACAAACAAACAAACAACAACAACAACAACAACAACAACAACAACAACAACAACAACAACAACAACAACAACAACAACAACAACAACAAGATCAGCAACAGCAACAATAACAACATCAGCAACAGCAACAATAACAACAGCAGCAGCAGTAGCATCATCATCATCATCAACAGCAGCAGCAGCAGCAACAACAGCAACAGCAACAACAGCAACAGCAACAACAGCAACAGCAACAGCAACAGCAACAACAACAACAACAACAACAACAACAACTGACTTTACTTGCTTGTTGAGTAAGCCCCCATGCACACCACAAGAAGCAAGAAAAGAATGCAACAACTACTGACCTGTGTGACGACTGAGCTTGGTGAGGTGATGAGTTCTGAGCACTCTTCGTTGATCAGCTTGGCAGTGACACGGATAGGATTGGCTGCATTTCGGCCACCTGAAAGCATATCAAAATACATGTATGTTGCAGAACCAGCGGAGGATGTACCCAGTGTGCTGACAGTGCTCAACACCGCCGAGGCAGAGCGTAATACAGAACAGAACAACAAGGACAATCAAAGCTTGTTTGCTGCTACTTCAAGTTTCATGCTCTCGCAATCATCAGGCAACATGAAGATTGGGTGCCGACCATGTATGTTGCAGAACCATAATCTCAGCAATCCTGATTTACTTTAGAAGTACTCCCAACTGAATATTCTCTATGAACTTGGAAGTCAAGTTGCGAGCTCGGCAATAGAGGAAGTTGGCTACTCCAAACATGGAGGTTACACTTCCCGCCCCGACTCTACTGTCGCATGACTGATTCGTGACTGCCATCTGAAGCACACGAGGAGCAAGTCAAACCTTCCAATTGGCAAGCCCGCAAGAAAGTATCACTCCCCGCTCAATACCCTGTGTTGGCGGAGGAGGAGGGGGGGTCAACTCCTCCCTTTAGTTGAGCTTGGAGTTTGTGAATCCTGAGAAAAGACATTTCTACATGTGGGGGGGGGGGGGAGAGAGGTCAAGCAACCTCTCACCTTCAATCAACTCATTGTGCCAATTCAAGGCCTTCTCCACTTTCTCCTGAGCAAAAATGAGGTCAGTCAAGGCATCCGGAGGCAGGTACTCTGAGCAGCTGCCACCTGCTTGGTTCATGGCCGCACAGATGTTGTCACTGAGTGATAGGATGAACGCCGTGATCTCCTCGTTTTCAAAAACTCCCAACGCCTGCAAAGACCAATCCACACATAGAACAGTACAGCAGAGAGCCATGTTCAAATCAGCGGCGGATCTAGCAATCTCTACAGGGGGGAGGGGGTTCCAGTTTAGTCAAAACTGAATAGCTGATACAGTCAGACCTCGCTTAACCGCACACATCCGCTTTCCACAAATCATCCGGATAGGCGAGGAAACCGGATAACCGAACACCGGTAATGTTGGATGCATCACGTATGTTGTAAATCTGCAACCAGCTATTTCCTTCCGGATGGCGAGGGATCCGGCTAAAAGAGGACCGGATAAGCGAGGGCTGACTGTGACTGTACAGTGTATATGCACATGCAGATGGCTTCCAGTAGTACATTTACGAAATTGAGGGGGTTCCCCGGAACCCCTCCTGGATCCGCCCCTGGTTCTAATGCTCCAATGATAGAACCTAACTACTCCAGCACAGAAATGTAGTTAGGTCACTGGACAGTGTACAAAATCACCAAAGCTGCTAGCACAAAGTACTCACAGGGGCAAGAAGATAAAGCTGAGCGGCCACCTCCACCACGTGTGATGCGCACTCAATAACGTCCTCCTGCTGGGGCCCGCACTGGCATTGTTTACACAGGTTCTTGATGCACACGAGAAGGTGAAGGATAGCGAGGTTGACTGACTTCGCAGCCTGGGTAATGGTCAACTACCGGACAAGAAAGGACAAGAACAAGCACCCATGCTTACTTCTAGGGAATAAACATAACACACTGCATATGAAAGCTTCGTTTGCAGAATACACTGCACACGAACAAAGACAAGAAGAGTGACAAAACACAGGGGTACTTCTTAACTAGGTGTAACACAAATGTAGGACACAAATTGCCACAACTCTTGGATAACAGCCACACTGCAATTGAAGCAACCCTGTATTAAACGTCGCATTCCAGACCAATCAAATGGCACACAAGCCATTCTTGAAAAGAATAGTAGGCGTGGCATTTGAGGAAGATATTTTCAGAATCATATCAACAAACAGTGTGGTGTCGGTGGTATGCCAACAGCTGTTAGAGAGACAGTATGTTTGCTGAAGGATTTGCACACAACCCTTTCTTGTCACGAAGGATGTCTCATAATCGAGGCTCGAGAAGTTCCACCACATCTGCAAACTAGCCAGGGCTTATAATGCAAGACTTGATGCCATGCAAACCGGCGTTGTGGCGAGTGTGGAGGGGGTGATGCACAACAGCATGGCAAAACAAACGCCGGACAGTGCAGTGCAGCAGCAGCAATAGGAGCATGCCGGTGAAAAGAGACGAGGCGGCAGCAGTACCTTGTAGACGATCACTGCACTGTCAGTATTGTTCTCAGCTTCCTGCTTGCAGCCAAATAGAGCTTCGATAAAACTCTTCGCTCGGCGGTTCAAGTCAATGAAGTTCTAAAGAGAAAATGAGAAAAGACAGACAGACAGACAGACGGACAGACACACGGTATGATTAGCACCACCAAACCGGTGACAAAATTCTGTCATGCATGTCCATGTAGGTGTGTGCATGTACACACACCGTTGGATCTTTGGACCTTTCGAGAGTCATTGCTCAGTGAAAGAACAAAAGCTGCAGTATCTCCTGTGGCGAGTCAATCATTGGGCCGACTGAAGTCCCTGCCAGAGCCGCAAATGAACAGTCTAGGCTTTGGAACATCCTGCGGGAGACGGTCACACATGGGGCATCAGTCTCGTCTGTCCTGCGCCAATTCGCACCAGCCACCTGTTGTAAACCGGGCACTCAGGTCTGCAGTGGTGACGTCCATCCAACACTTCTTTGGGCCGTGTCTGGGCCATGCGTTCAGACCCTCAGCAAACAGAACACCCTTTGGCAGGCGAGAATCATCCATCGTGAAGCCAATGCAGAAGGTGACAGTGCACAATCCCTACCATTCACAATGGCTAGTTCGTCGGACAAGATGCAATTTTGCCACTGTTGCACGTTATTTTTGACGTGAAGCGCAATTTCAAGTCAAATGGGTCATCGATTGGCGTAAAACACCAAATTTCGAAATGAGATGCAGCTCTCTCGCGTTGTACGGTCTGCTTGTATTGCTCTGGTTGTATTGCTCTGCTTGTATTGCTCTGCTTGTATTGCTCTGGCTACTGAGCAAATTCTATTCAGGCCTACTGCACTACAGAAGACAGTGGTTGCACCGATGTTGTGGGCATGACATACTAGGTGGCACACATACCCCCCCCCCGTCCCCCAACACACACACACATACACACATACCCCCCGTCCCCCAACACATATACCACCCACATACCCCCCTCCCCCAACACACATATATTACCCCCCCCCCCCCCTCCCCAACACACACACACACACACATACTAGTACCCCCTCCCCCAACACACACACGTGGACATGAGCACACTTGTGACACAGCATACACAATCACACACACACAGTGTGCCCATGTCTTGCTGAAGGAACTCACGACTTTGGATCCGGGCTCTTGTGCCTTCAGGAAGGGAACGGCACTTTCCGCCACAGCCACTGCACGGGGAACAAACTGCGACTCCTTCATACCCTCAATCTGGTCCTTCTTTGCCAGGATCTTTAGCTGCGTGATCAAATTGGGAACCTGCATAGCTCTGGAATGGAGGAAAGCACAAGACCAAATCATGCACAGCATTTTACAGCATGAACAATGGGCAGAGAGGAGTGTAACACTATGTGACTTGCAAATGGTGTGTGTTAACACGTGCAGTTTACATGTTTATTTGCGACGGGCTTATCATGTGATAGGGAATCAGTATTATTACAAATTAGAGATGCTCGCGTGGCCGGACATTGCACATACTTGAGTTCTGGGTAAGTAGTACGGTGTACATTGGCTTCAGGAACCATCACCTGTGCTTCACAAGAAGTGGCACAAGTGCAGCCCACTATTCCAGCATGCAACCATAGTCACATCTATACTATAGTCATCACACACACACGCGCGCACACACACACACACACACACACACGTGCGCGCACGCGTACACGCACACACATGTGCGCACGTACGCACGCGCGCACCATTCTTCACAAAACGCCCAAAAGACAATCTTGACGTACAATGTCATTGACATTTGCTTGAGAGCTGGGTAGTTACGCACGGACTCAGGAGCTGGGTGGAAGCACAACAAGAAGAGTGGAGCAAAACAACACACGGGACCAGAATGATGTCAAGAACTAGGACCCCAATCCAGAACACAGAAGACACAGTGCAGAGTTCTCCAAGGTACAGAGCCCTCACTGCTATTCAAGTACATGTACAACCATAATATAATATTGAAGCCCTCATACCATGCATGGTACACCGTTTTCCACACACCAATTCAGGTACGTTTGCTTCCCCCCCCCCCCTCCCCCTCTTCTCCTGGTGACGTCCCTGGCATGAGCCCAGATTCAACACTTCATAATACCAACACCTTGTACCCGCAGGTAGCTAGGGTCATCTGTGCAAAACACCAGATAGGGAAGAAGGACTGAAATACTTGGAGCAGATGCAGCAATGAAACTAACCGGCAAAGAAGCAGCAAATGTCACCAACTGTGACGGCAAGCAGATCAGCCAGGCTCACAACTTCCTGTCGAGTCATCTACAGAACAGAAAAAAAACAGTGTCACACAATCAGCTAATCTTTTCAATCAATGCCCTCCCGTCCATCAATTTTCACAACACAGACCTCCATGTAGTACACAAAGAGGGAAATGGGGTAGGAATCCAGACTGCACACAACTCCTAACACGTGGGAAACAACAGTTCATGAAGGGTGTGTGTGTGGGAACAAGGCCTTCTTTGATAGCTGATTCTGCCAAGGAAAGCAGATCAATTTCCATGGGACACCCAAGCCTGTCAGTAGTACTTGATAAGAGTCTCATCCAATATCATGGCAGGCTGGGGGCAGGAAACCAGCAAGAGTGAATCTGTGGTAACACGGCTCGAGTGCGTAAACCGAGAAGCTGAGATAATGGCCACGGCATCAGAAACCGTTGATGGCGTCGCCAGTAGCGCCAGCAGCAGACAGTGACGCTGTGGCTTCAATGGCCATAAGCCGAGAAGTGCGGAGGCGTCAGGTCGAGTCTTCTTAGCAGAGAAGAAGAGTGGGAACCTGAAGAAGAGTGAGAGCTGTGCCGCTTGCAGTGAGCAGCACCCTGTTGGGAAGTGTCCATCTTTACAAAGAAAAGAAGGTAGACGAACGATGGGACCTGGCGACAGAAAAAAGGCTATGTTATCGATGCCTTGGGCCAGGCCACCGTGGAGCTCAGTGTTCAAGAAATAGACAATGCGGTGCTGACAAATGCGATGGCAGGCACAATTGGCTACTGCATCGCAAGCCTAAGTCCGACTAGAAAGACAGCAAACCAGAGCCCAGCATGGAAGGGGAGTGTCCTTCATAGCACAACATCGGTTACGTTATGTCCCCAAGTAACGTTAGCGCAGCACCAGGGTCACTGCACACCGCGCCGGTGTTGTTGACCACGAAACGAGCAGATCATACGAGTCAACACGTTTCTAGATGACGGCGCGACATAGACTCTTATCAGCGCAGGTGCACTTGGTCTTCGCGGGGAGACAAAGAAGATAACAACTCTGAATATTATTAAAATTGCCAAGCTTGCCTGCAAAAATCCGCAGAACATGCCAATATTGAATATGGAATAGGCCAACATATGAATAATGAATAATGAAGGCCGTTACATTTATAAAAGGCGATGTCGGTCGAGAAGTGAGGCTCTGAATAGGCACCAAGAGAGTAGCTTTGACCAACCAACCATGTCCCGACACGTGAGAAAATCAAATGTGCTTCTTCTATAATTTCTTCCCAAGACAACAGCGATAAACGGGATTGATCATCATCACCAATCAAAGAAGTTATGACTCCTCACCTCTACGTCGGGCGGCATATTGAATTCATCAGAAGGAACTCGCCGCACCTCGTCCAGGTTGGACAGCTGTGCAGCCAGTGTTCTCACAACGTCTTCAACCTCCTCCTCTCCTTCTTTTCTTTTCCTCTTGGACTTGGACTTCTGCAGTGGGGTGTTCCATACATGCACATGAGCGTGCCCGTGCACACACACACACACACACACATACACACACCACACACACCA